TCACTTATCGTTCCATATGTATAACCACCCTGTATAATCCAGCTGTATCTCCAGGTCACCTAGATACATTCCATAGTTCATGTAGGAACGTTTTCTTTTTTCCAACTTACTTATTTCCACACACTGTTGCCTATTTTGTAAATAGCTCTGGAACCAGTCTTTAGCTGTTCCTCTGATGCCATAATTTTGAAGTTTCCGTATGAGCAGGTCATGGTCGACGAAGTCAAAAGCTTTGCTTAAATCAAAGTAAAGAGCTGCTACTGGTATCTTACTATCAAGACCTTCCATTATCGACTTGACTAGAGTAAAAATGGCTAAGGTTGTGTTATGATCTTTCCGAAAGCCATTTTGTTCCTGACTAATGATGTTGAATCTATCCATAAAACTACTCAGTCTAATATGCACTACCCATTCGAACACCTTAGAAAGAATTGGAATAAGTGTTATCGGTCTATAATTATTTGGATCCTTTTTATCGCCCTTTTTAAATAGCGGCTTGATGACAGATAACTTCAACGCTTCTGGGAATACACCTTCACAAAGGGACAAGTTAATTAAGTGACTCAATACAGGGGCGATAGAGTTTGCAACTTTCTTTAGAATTGATGTAGATAACTCGTCATAACCTACGGATGAACAGTTTTTTAAAGACTTAATTACTTTACATATTTCATTTGGACATGTAGGTTGGAGAAATATGCTAGAATTACAACTGTCAAGATGAGTTAATTTTGGTTCTTGTCTTATTGATCCACAGTGAATGGAATCAATAAAGAAATTATTGAGCGTGTTTGCTATATCTATTGGCGCGACATGCGTAATACCATTGCAGATAACCTCATCAAAGTTTGTTAGGGTTTTCGGTTCCGTTAATTGTGTTGTTATGATATTCCAAGCAGCTTTGGATTTGTTTTTGGAATTCATTATGAATTTTTTGTTACAACTCTTTTGAAGACCCATCATACAACGCCTTAGTATTTTAGCGTACATAACGTATTCGTGTTTAATAAGTAACTTGTCTCTACTTTTTGCTTTTTGATATATGTAATATAAGCGTCTTTTTTTCTTACAACATTTCTTTATGCCCTTCGTTATCCATTTTACTCTATTTGTTTTCTTTCTGATTTTAACTACTAGCTTAGGGAAACATAAATTATAAAACAACTGAACTACGGAATGAAAATCATCAAACGCTTTATTGGGATCAGTTTCTGCTAGAATATCGGTAAAGGATAAGGAACCAATACAATTCTGGAATTTTATAATATTATCAGTTCCAAAATCTCTTCTGGTTTCGCTCCATTGGGATATTGGTTCTTTGATTTTAATTTTAAACTCTGCTATTTGTCCCGTGTGATCTGATATCCCTAATTTATGAACTGAAGCATTAACATTTTTTGTGTTACTTATTATATGATCAATGCACTTGGAAATCCTTGTAGGTTCAGATATATGTAAAATTAAATTAAATGTAAATAGTAAATTTATTAATCTGTTAGAAAGTATACTAGGTTTTAAGGTGTCAATATTCAGATCCCCCGCAATAATAATCCTTTTCTTTCCGTTCTTCCCTATTTTTGAAAGCAAACCTTCAAGTTTTTCAAAAAATATAGTGATATCTGAGTTTGGTGTGCGATAAATACATATTATAATTAAGTTGTTGCTTTTTATTTCAATGCCGCAGCATTCAAAACTTTTGTAAGTGGCGTATCTTTCAGTTAATTTAAGCACATTGAATGTTAAACATTTTTTAATCAATATGCATACGCCCCCTCTTCTTTCCCTAGGTCTACAATAGAAAGCAGCCATTTTGTAATCATCTAATATAACGTTTTTCGTATCTCCTAATTTTAAAAAGGTTTCTGTGGCACATATTGTATGTACATGTTTTCCACTGTCCCGAAATTCTTGTAATGCTACTTTTAAAAGATCTAATTTATTCAATATACCTGCAAAGTTCTGGTGAAATACAGTGAACATGTTTTTAGGCTCGAAAAAATTTTTTGGGTTGAAGTTTTTGCCTTTTTTTACTGTTTAGTATAGTGTTGGTGTTGGTATTAGAACGTAATCCTACGTCTAAAAAGTCCTTTTTGTATTTTAGAGAATCAATTTCAATATTAAGCTTAAATGTTACTCTGCGTAAATATGGTCCTAAACCCTCGTAATTACTATTAATATCTAAAAATTTACAATTATTATATTTGGATGTCAGCATATTCAATTCGTAATTTAGTCTACTTACATTTAAATGTCGGTTGTATTTAACACCAGTAACAAAGAATTTACAAAATTTAAATTTACTTAACAAATTGCATAAGTTACTATACAGAAGATATGGATCTTTGTCGTTTGAGCCTACACCTATTACACATATATCTTCACTATTTATATTATCAGCTAGAGAATCGAGGCTTAGAAAGACGTCACTGCTTCGGGCTTGAGGCTTGATAATGCTAGTGATATTGTAGTTGTCATTCCATTTCCCTGACCGAGACTCCAACAGCTTTAATGCCAGGCCACGGAGCTGATCTCCCAAAATATAAATATTTTTCTTGATTGATTTTCCGGCTTCTGTATTTTCCTTTACTGTTTTCTTGTTATTGCATGAATCACTAATGTCTAATTTAGCTTTATCCGACTGTATATTCAAACCTTCAAAGCTTTGATTAGTCGCAGATTGAGATCTTTGGTCTAAACGTCCTTTCTTTACTCTCTTCGTGCTTCGACTGGAACTGCAAAGTTGGTTCAAGCGGTTCATTTTAACTTTATTTTCTGCCAACTTCTCTTTTAGATTAGTATTTTCCAGAACAAGATTTTCAATTTCTTTTTCAGCTACCGCTAACCTTGCCTGCATGTTCAAGTATTGTTGTTTCATTTCCTCCAAATCTTCTGCTCTAGTTGATGATAACTCTGGACAGCTTCTATTGAGTCGGGACGATAAATCAAAATCATCCTCCTCGTCATCCGTTGTTGTCTCAGACAGTGATTCGTACATGTTTGAAGTTGAAATGTTTATGATGCACTTATTCCTTCTTAAAGTTACGTTGTCCATGTTGGGGGTCGAAACATCAGCTCCAGAATTTGATGAGTGCGCTTTCGTTGAACAAGGGAGACATTTCCAGCGCCTCTTACGTTCATCATTCATGAGGAAAAAGCGCTTTTCCGCCCCAGCACAGTCTATGTCGTAGCTGATATTGCATTTTGTGCATGTCAAAAATTGTGTCCTTGGTAATAATTTAGCACATTTGCCACATTTTCCAGTCATTTTGGTAATTTATGTTATTAGTAGCAATAAAAAATAAAAAAAATGAAGAAAAAAAATAATTAAAAATTAAATAGTGTCCACAATTAAAAATCAAACAAAATACAAAAATTTTCTGCACTTGTTGATTTGAACCCGGCGTCTCAGAATTCCACCACGGCCGACTCAGTGTTTGTTACACTGCGCCACGACGACTTATAGATGAGCGGCGAAAAGTCCGGTTACTTTCTTCCGACTTCACTTTGATGCGATTTGAAGAATGACCTTATATGGTCACAGTTTGAACACGGGCGCACTCGATGAGTCACATGAGTCACAGCACTGGATGACTGTTTGTTCTTAACGAAAAATGCACATCTTTAAATTGTTTTTAATGCACTAAAGTCACTTCTTTGGTTATTGAAACTTATCACAGTCTTCATGATTTTCACTGAGCTATCGATGTGTGTAAATTTTGGACAGTATTATTCGCTTTTTACCACTAAAACAGTAAAAAATTGACGGAGCTTATTTTAGTACGTGCGGTCGTCCCCGCGCCCCGCGCGCAACTCTTAATATTTTATGACCAGCATAAATTGTTATAATTTTAATTATAACAATTTATGCTGTATTATTACATATAATAAAATATTATAACAAACTTTCCATTATATTAGAAAATGGAAATTAATTTATTGAATTATAATTCTATAACTTTTTTAATGTATAATGATGAAATTAAGTTAATATAAATAAACAACTAGATTTAAGTCAAATGTACTCTTAGGTCAAATATTAATTACCTACCTATATTATTTTATCTTGCATGTATCTAGTTCAATTTGATTTTTTATTTTATTTAAAAAAGGGGGTTGTCGGTATTTGTGAATACAAAACTATGCATGTATTGGGGGTAGACTTTTGGTCTCAATAAATCAGTCTTGATCTGGATCTCGTGTTTGATTGACACACATGTTTGATAAACATCTTTATTTTTAATTATACATAATTCTTCCACATTTATATTTTTACACAATGTATCCAATCCTCTCACAAATTCAGCTCGTGATATTCGCGATTGAGAATATAGATATTTAATATAAATTGTCTTTTTACTTGAAACATAACACAATACTTCACTTTCATGACTTATAAGTTTAAGTTCTTTCATTCTTCTATAATTTTTTGGTCTGTGATCGGTTTGAATTTTAAAATATTTCCCGTATAACTCGTTTCAGCCAAATGACGTCCACTGCTGGACAAAGGCCTCCCCNTACCATATGCGTACGCAGATCGCCATAATTAAAAAGTAAATGCGTGATAGTAGTTAATAATAACGTATAATAATAAAAAGGTTTTCATACATAAGCATTTTGTGAAACCAGTTTCGAGCCTTGCCCCTAGCGATTTAAAGTATCGATATCTTGTCGACTCCATTTATTTTTATCTTTGTTCTCTCACTAGCGTTTTCAAAGTATGCGTCATGTCACGCGGCCATTGATTGGCCATAAGGCACGCCTTCTGGCCAATAACAGCACTTTTAAGCCGGTTGCACATGTTGTCGTAGACTCTCAGTCGCTTTGTTTTTACACAGTTGAATGTGTGTGTGGGAGCTGTGGTGGGGGAAATGTGGGGACACTGGTTCTCGTTGTAGTTACGCGCGACTTCATATCTATTCTCTTTCTATGATCTGAGGTGGATATCCATTATACGTAAAAATAAAACCATTATTTAAGTAAGAAAGTCTTTATTATAAATTTTAAATCCCAATTAAACTATTTAAAGAAAAGCCTCCACCTGAAACAAATAAAGGATTTGTTAATAAAAGGACACCTTTTTTTCTGCATACATTCTTGACCAAATCATGTACCTAAAGTACAACTATTGAATTTTAGAGGAAAAATTAATGAATCTTAAAAAAAAACAGTTTTTTTTATACAATTGTACCCCCAAAATTATAAAGAAAATATATTTTTGTAACATGCAAAGTATGGCAATAATAGCAAGGCGATAACCTCTAATCACAGAATCTGATATGGACCTCTAATCCATATCTGTAACGATCACAAAAAATGCGTTTCTTTGGAAGGCAGAAAATGAATTTGCCAACTATATGTTTTATTTGGTTTCACTTCATAAAAAGAATGTATTTTTGCTTTCAAACATGTTTTTTCATTGAATAGTTTTTGAAGACCGAAACGCCAATGGCCAAAACATTGAGCTCCAAAGCCAAAATAGTGTGCTCTGACAGCGAAAAAAAAAGTTCAACGATCATAACTTAAGTGACAGCACTGACAGATGATGAGACATTCCGATTGCGTATGCGGATTTGGAAGCGTGTTTGGTTTGTTGTGTGTCGTTATTTTTGTTTTAATCCATTACCCGTATTTGGTTTCTGGTGTTTTAACGATCTCAACTACTTGGCTCACACTTGAACCAAGAACTTCCCGATACATTGTGCGATTTGTCTGCTGTCGTATAATCCTAGAACCTTAGATTAAGGCTAGAACTGAAGGACCGGCTTTTGTAAGTACCTTGTTTTTTTGTTTTTTTAAAGCCTTCCTTCCTGGCCTGGAAATTTGTACTTTTGTACCATTGGCCGAATACTTGTAAGTTGTCAATATTCTTTCATGTCTTCTTACACAGATTGATTTGATATTACCATGTATAGCCCGACCAGGAACATAAAAAGTCGTCATGTTGCGGAAAACTAATGGTACTAATTTCTTTTAATGGCAACAGTAACTAAAAACTTCATTGACATGTCACCTTGCATGTCAGTCTATTACTGTCAAAGTGTAAACAAACTTTATTTTAAATGTAGGTACGCAACTGAATTTGTGAATTAAATTGCTAAAATCTTTTTATAGTCGTGAAAGAAAAGTGGTTCCCAATGTGTTAAAGTATTTGTCGAAGAGAAATACTAAGGGTTTGGATAATATTTTCATTGATTAATGTTTCCGACAAAGGTTATCAAATTGACTGACATGTTTATCGTATAGTACAGTCCATTATGGAAATTAGCTGTGGTATGTTTCAACTACCTATTTAAAAAAAAATTGTCACTTTCTAAGTGTTGAATTTTATGGAATTGGGAAAGAAGTACCGAGTTTGAAGCGTTCATGAGCCGACATTGCAGTTGAATATTCAAGATCTGAATTTGATAGCCTTTTAATTTAACACAGGTACGACTGTACTCAGTGTTGCACTATCAAATGCAATTGACGCGCCTCTATGCCAGGGTTTTTATGTTCCTGGTCAGGCTTTACCTTATGTATGTTTTCTTTAAATATTTTTTATTATTATTTGTTGGCATTTTCTGATTATTTTATGTATTTTTTATTTAATTAGCATTATTACTGTTTTTATTTTATCAGGATATACATCTTAGTTTTAATGTTATTACGTTTTCTTTACAATAAGTAATTGAAAGAAAAAAAATCTAGGTAAATATAAAAAAAATAGAAAAATCTTGGATATTTTTTGTCATTTTTTTCGTCGATAAAAATAGGTCTAGTTTTACCTGTTTTCATACGTGAACTTTATCAAGACTCACACTGTATATACTTTTATGGTTATCACATGTACCTAAACATTGAAACACCCAGACTAATATAAATTGATAATAATATGTTCATGCACACAACATGCACACAAATGTTTGTACTGTGTGGAAAGCAAACCTGCTACATCTGGCTTCTGGCATATTAGTTTGGTAGGTGCAAACCTATACATATTATAACTGCCTTCACTTAATTTTATATATTTGGTTTTAGGTCTACATAATATTTTATGACAATGAGGTGCATGTCATGCAATATTAAATTGGAGGAGGAGACACAGTACTACAATGTAGGCGATATTGGCGCTCAACTTATTGCACTTATAGCAAGAACTCTCAATTGTGAGGTAATCTATACTAATATTATAAATGCGAAAGTAACTCTGTCTGTCTTGCTTTCACGCCTAAACCACTGAACCGATTTTGGTGAAATTTGGCATAGAGATAGTTTGAGTCCCTGGAAAGGACAAAGGATAGTTTTTATCCCGGTTTTTGAAACAGGGACGCGCGCGATAAAGTTTTTCTGTGACAGACAATATACAACGCGGGTGAAGCCGCGGGCGGAAAGCTAGTCTTTAATAAAAGGATTGATGTTTTAGATTGACCTCCAGGCCTACTTATGCGAAGAATGTTTTACTTCTTTTACACAAAAACTATATTCAGAAGCAAGATCTCATTCAAATAAGCACGATTCAATAATTCATTGCGTTTGGTGCAAGAAATCAATTAATGGCCGTCGCTCTCATTCTTTACCAAATGGACCGGAGAGAAGACAAATAGCTCTTCGTATATTGCCTATTCAAGTAAGTGATGCATGTAATTTTGTTAACATATTTATACAGGGTGTTAGGTAAATGTGTATATGAGCCGACGCTAGCCCATGTTAACATGGGCATATAAATGGTATGGTGAAGTCAGAAAATTAATATCTTCATTTTAATTATTTAAATTTTCATACATATTGGATTTAAAAAAAATATTTTGTATGAAAATTAAAAAAAATAAAGTGATGATATCAAATTTCTGACTTCACCATACCAATTATATGCCCATGTTAACATGGGCTAGTGTCGGCTCATATACCCATTTACCTAACACCCTGTATATTATAGATACTAAGTAACCCCAATGCTGTTTAAAGATATAATAGTTTGTACTTTCACATACTTAAGTTAGAGGAAGAGCCCAATTATAAATGGAATAATAAGTACTTTTATTAACAGATTCAACCTGGAAATAGAGTATGCTATGCATGCTGGTTAGCAGCTCGCAGACTTGTACAAAGATCTCAACAACAAGCACAGAACCGGCCAGAAGCATCGGTGCAAGACTCTAGCGAACAACCTCCAATCCTTGAGCCTGAAACTTCGGCTTCTCTCGACCCGCATTGTGTAAGGTGTGGAAGAAATATTGCTGGAGTGCGCTCTCAGTCTTTGCCAGAAGGACGTGAACGAGACAACATTGCAAGATATATCTCACCTAGACAGGTAATTTTATTGTTATTAGGATATCTATACTTAATATTATAAAGCTGAAGAGTTTGTTTGTTTGTTTACTTGAACGCGCTAATCTCAGGAACTACCGGTTCGATTTGAAAAATTCTTTTAGTGTTAGAAAGCCCATTAATCGAGGAAGGCTATAGGCTATACAACATCACGTATGATCAATAGGAGCAGAGCAATAACGAAAACGGGTTTTCACGCGTACGAAGTCGCGGGCACAGCTAGTTTATTTATATGATGCATTCATTTTATTTTTCATTTTTCTTATAATATTTCTCTTTTCAGATTGAGCCTAATGGCAGAGTCTGCTATGCATGTTGGGTAGCAGCTCGGAGAAGTGTGAGAAAAGAAGAAGATAACGAAAAAAGAGAAATAGCTGGAGCCGCAATTGATATACCTAGCGGGTCATGTACGATATTACCAAATTATAGGCGTACGGCTAACTCTTCCAATTCGTGTTTCGTACGTAATTGTAACAATGCAGAGAGATTTACTGTCCCACTGTGTTTAAGGTTACGATTATTAAAATCCTATAAATTATATGTGACTGACAACGCCCGCGTATGTCAGGAACACTTGAGCGCCGATAATTGGGACTTCATAGATGATCATAATTACATTCATCAATTCTCTCCAACGCAAATAGAACAAATGATTAATATGTCTATAAAATAAAATAATGTAATAAAATTAGATTTTGAAAACTGAATCCTTAACAGACGAAATATGTTGTTATTGTACTGGAGTAAAAAAAGAGAAGAATGGCAATATGGAGTTCTAAAAAGATGATTTCCAGTGTTAGCAGTGGGTATTGGAATGGGATTGGAAATAATTTGTAGTACTGCTATTTCTATTTATTTAACCGGCAGACAGTGCTGCAGTGGTGACTGAGTTTGTTGCGGCGCTTTTTCTCAGCATTTGGCCAAATGTTGGTCTCAAAGCGCTGGTAGGGTTTTTACTGGGTTGTTTTTAGATTATGAGACATGTAGAGGCTTTTTAAGAGCAAAATATTTCACGATTTGCAATTACTATTTATTAGTCTATCTATAGTATAGATTCTATACAAATAAAGAAATTTTGACTTTGAATTTATATAACTTTAATTCTTAAAAAATTTAATGATGGCGCTTTTCGAAATTTAGAAGTAATTAACTATGGTCAAGTTCCTCATCTACCGATTACCATAAGTCATGTGCGTGACTTCCAAAGAAGTTAATAATACTTTGAAACAATAAGGAACTGATGGAATGAATTAAAGGAAACGGGCCTTGAGGGAGGCCTTTGTCCAGCTGTGGACGTCATTAGTCTGAAACAAAAGAAATGAATAAACTTACCTTTTATTTGATCTAAAATTGCAGTTTTTATTTCAACTTCCTTGGCTGCTGCTCGCAATTGTAAACGATACAATTTCCTTTTAAATTCCAATTCCTCCCTCAATATCTGTTCTCTTAGGTCAGCAGCAGTTTGCTTCCGTTTAATCACGTTTTGTATGCTGTAGGAAACTGACGTTGCCTCATTCCGCTCGTTATTACTTGACATCCGTGACCGTCTTCGTGGCCATACTGGTGTTTTATTAACAGGCGACTTTTGAAGTTCTCGTATATCCTGAGAAATAAAATAAAAATAATTACGTGCAATAGATCTATTTATGGAAAATAAATATACAGGGTGTCCCAAAAACAATGGATAACCCTGTAACCATCGATAGGCCTCGCCATGGTCTCCCTAACGTCCAATTTTGACCCCAGTAAAAATATCACCGTTTTCAAGATTTTTAAGTTTTTGTGCATTTTTAGAAAATTACCAACTGCGATTACTTTTTCTCATGCCATTTCTACAAATGAGGATACTTTTCAATCTAGTTTTTTTCCTTATCACAAGGGATGGTTGGGCTATCAAAAGAAAAGATTAACAAACTAGTTTAAAAGTATGAAAATTTTAAGAAATTGCAGAGAAGAAGGAAAAATTAATTCATTGTCTTGCACTTTTGATCAGCCGTCGTTTAATAAAAATGTAGGAAGACTATCGTGCCCATTACCTTAAAAACTTCCTTGGTTAATTGAGATTCTAAAAAGGTATCACAAGCCTATGTATTCTGTATCATTTTTATCTTATGGCTACTTGAATAGCAACTAGTATGAAAATTGCAAAAATGAGTTTTTCTCGTAATAGTTAAACTAGGACTGCATAGTGGCATTAAATACAAATGGATAATTTTTAGCGTAGGAATTTTAATAAAGCAACATTTTATCATCATCATCATCATCATTTCAGCCATAGGACGACGCTAATGGGCACGATGGTCTTCCTACATTTTTTTTACACGACGGCTGATCAGAAGTGCAAGACAATGAATTTATTTTTACTTCTTCTCTGCAATTTCTTAAAATTTTCATACTTTTAAACTAGTTTGTTGAACTTTAATCTTTTCTTTTGATAGCCCAACTATCCCTTGTGATAAGGAAAAAAACTAGATTGAAAAGTATCCCCATTTGTAGAAATGGCATGAGAAAAAGTAATCGCAGGTGGCAATTTTCTAAAAATCCACAAAAACTTAAAAATCTTGAAAATGGTGATATTTTTACTGGGGTCAAAATTGGACGTTAGGGAGACCATGGCGAGGCCTATAGATGGTTATAGGGTTATCCATTGTTTTTGGGACACCCTGTATAATTATAATAATAATATAATTCTTTATTGCCTCGTTTTAACATGCTTTACAACAGAAATAAAAAACATAGGAGGCAAAAGGATGAGGCTTATATTTAGAAAACAACAATATTTTCCATTTACATCAGCCTTAGGTTCTTCGGCTGAGTTGTCATCAATAATGTCGCACTCATATATTTGTGGCTGGATCCAAACTGATATTTCTTCTCTTTGTGTCTGAAAAATATGTTTCCGTAAAATGTAGGCAATAGAATAGAATAGAATATTTTTATTGATGTAATACACTGTAACATTTTATATTGAAATAAAATCAACAATTTTAATGTGATGAAGAAATTTATCGCCCGTATTCACAAATAATAAATAAATAAAAATAAAAATCATTTATTTTCAGACTAAAGCAGTCCATAGTTTGGTGAGTAACAATTTGATCTTCAGAGACTATGTTAGTAGTTAGTAACAAACAATGCTTGCTTATGTGAAGCAGCAAATCTAACGCACAGCGTTGCATAGAGCTCTGTGATTGGTTTGTGTGTCACCCTGTGCGTCCACGCACACTGTGAGACCTCATAGTATTTTTTGTGAATACTGGCATATAAGAGCATTATTATTAAAAATTTTGAATGCTAATGACTTTAAAATGCACCTTTTCTGTTTCTGATCCAGTGTCAGCGTCACAATTTGGTGCCACTGACATTCCTGTATACTCTTGGCCAAGAAAAGAACACACCTGTTCCATTACAGGGTCAATTTGTAAAGTTAATGGCCCTCCAGTCTGCGTATCTTCAGTTTGAGCAGAATAGTTTTTGCTCTCGAATTTTAATTTCTCCCACACTTTCATCAAAGATTTCTTAGTTCTAAAAATGATTTAGTATTTTAGTAGTTAGTACCTAGAATTTAAGGTTAAGGCATAAAGAACAATATACATAGGAAATATTTATTTCTCATACCTGTAGCTGAGTGGGTCTGATGAAGAATTGAAGGACTTTGTGATTTCTATCCACGCACTGTTCTTCAACTCATTTGTGGCCCCGTCTGTTTTTTTATTCAGAATGATTTCTTTGTGAGGGAGCAGTAACTTTATCAACTTGTTTTTATCTTCGATTGTAAAATTTTGTCCACGTTTCCTTTTTTCTGCCATTATACTTTTTCTTTTATAATTTTGAAAACAATTAACACCGCACAACACAACAACACAAATTGATTGACAACAATCAACTCAAGTCACGTGACTTCAAAATGTCAGTGCAGGTGCGTTCAGAAACGTCACCGGGTAGGTATTTGTTCAGACGCCTTTTTTAGAAAGCAGCGCTGAGCGCTGCGTTCAGAAACGAACCGCGAGTAAGGGTAAGGTAAAAAAATAAAAACAAAAATCTGTTAAAAATTTTCGAATTTGTATTCTCAAAATGATACACCAATGAATTTTGTCTAACCATCTACCAAACACCCTGTATAATGCGTCGACGCCGGTACTGCGTCACTATTATAACACTTGCGGCCGAATACTGAAACACTACTCAAATCTGTCACTCAGCTGACGGGCTCCTAAATTTAAGTATCCTTCAATTTTAAATGGTATTCTCAAACGCCACTCAACGGATTTGAAGCCGTGATCAGCTAAGCAGCTCTCAAATGTTTACATAATGGCAACATTTAGCAAAAAAAGTACGTTTTCATTTACACAGATGATAACTTTACGTTTTTTATCCATTACACGCAGCATCGTTTGGTTATGTATTGTCTTTTATGGAAATGTACTCAATCAACTTAACATAGAACAGTTTATTTTTAGTTTCTATTATACAGGGTGTTTGGCGCATCGTGTGCCAAAATGATTTGGCGGATAGAATGGGTCATTTCCTAAATTTTCAGCCCCCATAACACGTTCCATGCCGGGCGGCTACTTTTATTTTAATTTTTTTAGTAATTTCACCAAAATACCCAAATCGCATCATTTAATTTCGATTTAAAAAAAAACTACTAAGCGTAGCCTCAAAGTAAACATTTTGTTTTGACGTGCATTGATGTAGGGTTGCATCAAATCTAAATTTACTGGCAAATATCATCTAGTTTTTTTTAATTCAGCTTTGAAGTTTTTCTAAATGTTAAAAATGGACTGAACATTTAAGTTTACATTGCTATAAAAAAATAAATAAAAGAGATAGCGATCTTCGGATTTTATCAAAACTTCTCTAGTCTATCCTCATTTAAACGGTATACTAATCTTGTTTAAATAATAACAATAACTTCACAAATTCCTTAAACTAGTGCATTGACTCTACTCGGACTGATTTGCGAAATTTGTGTTTATAGCCCCTTTTGTGTGAATAGCACGTTATTAAACACCTAACAGGTAGAAATTATTTATCTTATGCAATGTAAAAACCTTTTCCCTATCGTTTTTCAATGTGGATTTCTTGAATTTAAGGACGAAAATAATTATTTTGATCGTTTATTAATTATTACAAANAGTATTTACTACGGGAATGAGGTCCTTACCAGAGCGACTCTTGCTATGGGAATCAGGTCCTAACTGTAGTGACTCTTGTCCTTCCCAGAGCGACTCTTGCCACGGGAATGAGGTCCTTACCAGAGCGACTCTTGCTACGGAAATGAGGTCCTTACTGTAGTGACTCTTGCCACTAGAATGAGGTATCCTTGCCGGAGTGAGTGTTCCGGCAAGGATACCTCATGCGGCGTGGCGCCTGTGGCGGGTCGGGAGCCTAGTGCCGGGGCCGGCGTGGCGCCTGTGGCGGGTCGGGAGCCTAGTGCCGGGGCCGGCGTGGCGCCTGTGGCGGGTCGGGAGCCTAGTGCCGGGGCCGGCGTGGCGCCTGTGGCGGGTCGGGAGCCTAGTGCCGGGGCCGGCGTGGCGCCTGTGGCGGGTCGGGAGCCTAGTGCCGGGGCCGGCGTGGCGCCTGTGGCGGGTCGGGAGCCTAGTGCCGGGGCCGGCGTGGCGCCTGTGGCGGGTCGGGGCTCACCAGCGTCCGCAGCCCCTCGAGGCGCAGGTGGCGGCGCGCCGGGCAGGCGGCGTGCAGCAGCTGCGCGCGCACGGAGCCGCCGGAGCGTGCGCGCGCGCGTGCGGGCGGGTGCGCGCAGTAGCACGCGAGAGGATCGCCCTCTGTCGAGCCGAAGTTCTCGATCTGCGTGCCGAGAGCGAGTGGTTGTAAAGTCAACACGGTTAAGAGCGTTTACGCGAAGTGCGGCGTTTCAAGGGGCATCATTGGAAATGATTCGCGCGCGGCGTTTTTTAATAGTTTTCAAATGTTTATAGCAAAACAATAACAATGAATTATATATCGTTTCAAAGTAAATATTTTAAAGAAGATGTTATTTTATTATGTTAAGCTATTTTTATGTTGAATTAAAGAAGAATAATGGTGTAAAAATCACTTTGATTTTTGGGTATTTCACGTTCTTTGAATTTGTGATTTCTTATTGTAAAATGCTTAAATCTAAGAATTTTCTCAACTATTTGCCTAAGGACCTATGCTATATGATATAAATGTTTGTTATATAGTTTTCACAGTATTTTTATAAAATTTTCAGCTTGTAAACTGACGCTAAAGTGGAAATTTGAAAACCTGTGTGGACTTATCTTGATAGAATTCTTAAAGACGACGAAATTGCCTAATTATTTATGCCTATAACATATTTGTAATGTAACTTGTAACGGGTTGAAAAAGTACTGTTTTTGCGCCAAACGGCGTAAACGCTCTTAAGCCTTGATCACACGTACCGAGTAAACGGGCGAGACAGTAAAATGTTTACTCGGTCGAGACAGTTGGGTGAGCGAGTCACATACTCGAGCGCTCGGCGTAATGTTCATACACACCGAGTACTCGGCCGAGAGCTCGCCCGTTTGCTCGGTACGTGTGATCAAGGCATTATATCCGTTGTCCAGTACTCATAGTACAAGCTTTGCATAATCCTTGATCACACGTCCCGAGAAAACGGGCGAGACAGTAAAATGTTTACTCGGTCGAGACAGTTGGGTGAGCGAGTCACATACTCGAGCGCTCGGCCGAGCACCTCGGCGTAATGTTCATACGCACCGAGTACTCGGCCGAGAGCTCGCCCGTTTGCTCGGTACGTGTGATCAAGGCATTATATCCGTTGTCCAGTACTCATAGTACAAGCTTTGCATAATCCTTGATCACACGTACCGAGTAAACGAGCGAGACAGTAAAATGTTTACTCGGTCGAGACAGTTGGGTGAGCGAGTCACATACTCGAGCGCTCGGCCGAGCACTCGGCGAAATGTTCATACACACCGAGTACTCGGCCGAGAGCACTGTCTCGCCCGTTTACTCGGTACGTTGATCAAGGCTTTAACAGGCTTACAGGGTTCTTCAATGGAACAATAATCTATTACTCAAACTTCAACCGAATCAACGCAGATCGCCATCGCCGACGCGATCATAGGCCTATGCACATGTTGATTTGGTTGAAGCCTTATTCTTTTGAGCGATGCCAATGCTGAGCGACTACTGTTCGCCCCTAAATTCTAATAAGAACGAACGGAGAAGGGAGAAGGCAGCCAAATATGGACGATCGGACGCGGCAATCTTCGGTTTTTTCTTAGCGTCTCCATTTTGGAAATATTGGAAAAACTCTCAAGTAACGCAAATTGTAGTAAAAACGCGACAGGCTATATCTAAGTACAAGTGCTCATTGTTCAGAAACCAAAGCACTAAAGTTGGAGAATGTTACCTGTGGAAGACTGGGCCAACAAGTGATCTCGTTGTGACTGAGATCCAACTGCCGTAGACTCGTAGGGTATGACGTCACGTATGACATCGACCTGCAACAACATTCAACGTGAAAGGTCAACAGTTCTACGAGTTATGTCCCCGCCCATTGACACTTAAGTTTGGCAATTCTGAAATTCTGATGTGCTATAATGTATTTATTTATTTATTATTTATTATTCATTATTGAGCAATTACATATTTGATCCAAATAGCGTCCTAAATCCTCTTTAGGTTTGTCTAGACACTATGTATGTCTTTAGGTATGTACTGTATGTGACTTTGTTGGTGTACACCTAATAAATAAGTCAAATACCGGTGACTTTGGTTATCCTACGGATCTCTTTATTTCTTATTTTACGGGAATGAGGTCCTTACCGGAGCGACTCTTGCTGCGGGAATGAGGTCCTTACTGTAGTGACTTCTTCTTCTTGTCGTGTCGACAACAAACCTACACAGTGTCAGCCCAAAACTGCGCTACAAGAGTGGCGTTGTCAGCAGCATTCATTAAATCCTTCTGAGTACAGTCACAGAATAAGTAATAGTACATGGCAGGTACAGAAGGATTACTCCGCAAGACGATTTAAATAAATGCGAGTCTTGCTACGACACGATACAGTGGAATTCAGCTTGCACAGCACTACGTACCTACAATTTTATTCACCTACAAGTTTTGTCTCTTTCTATCGCGTGCCTCTGAACTCTTCTTACGCTGTTAGGGTTGCTGTTTAGTGAAAAAATAATTAATCTACTTATTTGTAATGAGGTACGTATGTAGGTAAGTACGCATTCATTATGGAAAACCTGGGGAGAGGCCTTTGTCCAGCAGTGGACGTCATTTGGCTGAAACGAACGAACGCATTCTGAGCAGTAGTCATAGAAGGTTAGGTTCCTATACTATCCTAAGAATTATTGATTACCTACATGGTCAACATACCTTTCAGCATCTTTAGGAAGCGAAAAAAAAGATAAATCCGGTAGATTTATTTTCGAATTTAAACACCCAAACGCCGCACAATATTTCTTTCTCTTTATGTCCATTTTTAAATAATACTTCGATCATAGAATTATAATAATACTACAACGCACGCCAGCGTCCTGACGGGCGCGCGCGTGACACCCGACTGATATAATACCCGCCGGCGGGGCGCTTCGCTGTAGGTAATTATCGGATGTACCGCGCGGAGTGAGCCAGGCCTGGTACAGTTGCTCGGGCACTCAGGGCACGACATCATGTGCTTCATCGACTGGGGAACAAAACCGCACCTGCACTCCATGTTTGAGCCATCCAAGAATCCCCACCTGGCCAGATTGTCCTTACTACGGCCAAACTGCATCCGAAGTCTATTTAAAGACTTCCAGGTAAGCCAGGGGAGCTCATGTCCACTGTAGTGACTCTCGCCACGGGAATGAGCACCTTACTTCAACGAATTATAAGCCATAGGACATGGATCAGATAAATTTGTAGGGAGTCAAGCAAAGCGTCCGGGGAAAGAAGCCCAGAGCAAGTACCCGCGCGCTCTCCCGAGATTTGGTTCGTGCGCCGTGAGGCAGGAAGAACCATGGGTGGTCTGAAGAGCGACTCTTGCTAAGGGAATGAGGTCCTTACCAGAGCGACTCTTGCTGCGGGAATGAGGTCCTTACCAGAGCGACTCTTGCCACGGCAATGTGCGCCTTACCTCAACGAATTATAAGCCATATTGAGCCGCGTGAGCCGCGGCGCGCGGCAGGCGAGCGGCGGCGGCACGCAGGTGAACTGGTTGTGAGCCAGGTTGAGCGAGGCAGGTGACTCTTGCTACGGGAATGTAGTCCTTACTAGAGTGACTCTTGCCACGGGAATGAGGTCCTTACCGTAGTGGCTGTTGCCACAGGATTGAGGTCCTTACTGTAGTGACTCTTGCTACGGGAATGAGGTCCTTACCAGAGCGACTCTTGGTGCAAGAATGAGGTCCTTACCAGAGGGACTCTTGCCACGGGAATGAGGTCCTTACTAGAGTGACTCTTGCCACGGGAATGAGGTCCTTACCAGAGCGACTCTTGCCACGGGAATGAGGTCCTTACTAGAGTGACTCTTGCCACGGGAATGAGGTCCTACCAGAACGACTCTTGCTGGAGCTTTACCGGTGCCTTATCGGAGCGAATGTTGCCACGGAAATGAGGTCCTTACTAGAGCGACTCTTCTTCCGGGAATGAGGTCCTTACCGCAGCGACTCAGGAGTCGCTAAGTCGTGTGACAAGTCACGGGAATGTGCACCTTACCAAAGCGACTCTTGCTACGGCAATGAGGACCTTACCTCAACGAATTATAAGCCATATTGAGCCACGTGAGCCGCGGCGCGCGGCAGGCGAGCGGCGGCGGCACGCAGGTGAACTGGTTGTGAGCGAGGTTGAGCGAGGCAGGCGACTCTTGCCACGGGACTGTGCGTCTTACCGCCGAGAATGTAACCTCTACGACGAAGCTCGACAGAAGATGCTAGATGCGATATGGAAAGCCGAGCAAGGACCTGTTTACACCCGGACCTCACGAGTAGTCGCAGTAACTGGATCGCATTAGTGTCAAGCCCCAGAAGGGGGAGAATTGACTAAGAGAAGGGACATGGATCAGAGAAATTTGTAGGGAGTCAAGCAAAGCGTCCGGGGAAAGGAGCCCAGAGCAAGTACCCGCGCGCTCTCCCGAGTTTTGGTTCGTGCGCCGTGAGGCAGGAAGAACCATGGGTGGTCTGAAGAGCGACTCTTGCTACGGGAATGAGGTCCTTACTGTAGTGACTCATGCCACGGGAATGAGGTCCTTACTGTAGTGACTCTTGCCACGGGAATGAGGTCCTTACTGTAGTGACTCTTGCTACGGGAATGAGGTCCTTACTGTAGTGACTCATGCCACGGGAATGAGGTCCTTACTGTAGTGACTCTTGCTACGGGAATGAGGTCCTTACTGTAGTGACTCTTGCCACGGGAATGAGGTCCTTACTGTAGTGACTCTTGCTACGGGAAAGTAGAGCTTACCTCAACGAATTATAAGCCATATTGAGCCGCGTGAGCCGCGGCGCGCGGCAGGCGAGCGGCGGCGGCACGCAGGTGAATTGGTTGTGAGCCAGGTTGAGCGAGGTGAGCCGCGAGCCGGCGGCGGCGGGCGCGGGCGATTCCAACGGATCGAGCTCGCCGCGCCACGCGTGCGGGCGGCGGGCTTCCGACCAGCTGTAGGCAAAAAGTACACATTATTCAAATTCAAATTGTGTTTATTGTGAAATCACAGGTACATAAGTCAGTCAAAATTTGTATAATAGATCAGCTGTGTTCCGCCGCATGGGCATACAATAATGTAAAGATACAGAATTGGTCAAATTATATTTTAAGAAATTGATAGGTAGTAAAATCTATAACCTATATTATCACCAAAAAATTTTTATTGTTATTCTTATTTCTAGGTATTAAAGCAATAAAAATAAGCTATGCATAACCCGTGCGCAAAAATACACTTAAATACTTTTTTTTTTGTAAATCCTACTTAATATTATAAAGGCGAAAGTTTGGATGTCTGGATGTCATGATGTCTGGATGTTTGTTACTCTTTCACGCAAAAACTACTAAACGGATTTTGTTGAAACTTTACAGTTATTGTTTATATCCCAGATTAACATATAGGCTAACTTATGACGATATGTGACAAATAAATTTAAATAAATAAATAAGACGTCTAAAAAACGCCATCTACCTATCTTCATTGGTTAAAATCTACAGCGCTGGACAAACTCTAACGGGGGTAAAACGAGGTCCACGCGAACGAAGTCGCGGGCGTACATACATATTATACATAGAAAATACCCAGACCCGTCACAGAAATTAAAATTCATCATTTTAATTTCTGCCCGGCCGAGAATCGAACCCGGTACCTCTCGGCATAGTAGTCCGTTCTGAACCACTACACCAAATGGCCGACATAGAATTTCGTCCAATGGCCAAAATGTGATAGTTAAAACAAAACTCACACAGCGTGTCCTCCACGGCCGGCCACGACCACGGGCGCGTCGTCATCGGGCGCCTCGCTGTCGCTGCGCTCGATGGACGGACTGCGCGACGAGTTCTTCTACGGACGAAGACATATCATTAATAGCATATAGCTGTGATTGAAATGTTTGGGATAGGGGGGGACAGTCTGGTTCAGGGGGGACAGTCTGGCTCAGGAGGAACAGTCTGGCTCAGGATGATAATCTAGACCAGGGGAGACAATCTGGATCAAGGGGGACAGTCTGGACTAGGGGGGACAGTCTGGACTAGGGGGGACAGTCTGGAACAGGGGGGACAGTCTACACCAAGGGGGACAGTCTGGTTCAGGGAGGACAGTACGGCTCAGAGGAAACAGCCTGGACCAGGAGGTCAGTCTAGCTCAAGGTGACACTCTGGACCAGGAGAGACAGTCTGGCCCAGGACTATCTAGCTCAGGGGGACATTCTGGCCAGAAGGGTACAGTCTGGCTCAGGGGAGACATTCTAGCCCAGGGGTGACAGTCTGGCCCAGGAGGACAGTCTTGCTCAGAGGGGCAATTGGACCAGGAGGGACAGTCTGGCTCAGGGGGGACATTCTTGCCCAGGGGGGACAGTCTAGACCTGGGGGACAGTCTGGCCCAGGAGGACAGTCTTGCTCAGAGGGGCAATTGGACCAGGAGGGACAGTCTGGCTCAGGGGGGACATTTCGGCCCAGGGGTGACAGTCTGACTCAGGGGGGACAGTCTGGACCAGGAGGAGACAGTCTGCCTAAAAGGGTACAGTCTGAACCAAAGGTACAGTATGGCTCAGCGGGGACAGTTTGACGTCGCACTCACCGACTGGTCTGCGCTGCGCTCTGCGGCCTCCGGCTCGGCGGGAGGCTGCGGGGACGCCTCGGACGGAGACAGCGCCGTTGGGCTGCTGCATTCGCTTGTATTCTGGAAAGCAAGCGATCAATCAATATTCTTGACAAAAAATGGAGCTATAGTTTGGCTCAGTCAACGCCTGAGGAATGGGAGCGGCACGGCAATGTCACCCACATTGCAGATTATGACGTGGCAAATCCAAAACATATCCGAAGCCTCGCTGATCACCAAAGTCACCGCGATATGGAAATAATTGGGGGAGGCATATATTCATCAGTGGAAGTCCTGTGGCTGAAATGATGATGATGAAGAGTCGAAGTTTAGTTGCAGATGTATCGGGGTAGCACTGAAAACACCTGTTGGTCCAGTCTAGCTTATGTTGCCATTTTGCTTACAAGTGTTTTCCGTGAAACGCCTCCAATGACTGGCGTTGACGGTCGGTGCTATCCAGTTACGCGCGATGGCTTCGACACTGATATATCCATTTGACACCTTTTTTACGAAGAAAAAATGCACGATGCATACCCACTAAAAGACCCTGGTACTCCGTCCACCATAAGTGGGAGGAAACTGTTAGATTCCGGACAGCCTTCTCTACCACAGCCCCTCCTGTATCGGTGTGACACCTAAACCAGCCAGTTTGCCAACTTCCATAGTGACTTGTTTAATTTATTTTTTAGCAGTGATAGCGCTTACCGCTTAGCGCGTCGCCATTTTGTTTACAAGCGCTTTTTTCCGCCAAACGCCTCCAATGACTGATGTTGATGGTCGGTGCTATACAGTTACGTGCAATGGCTGAGAAACCGCAGCTTGTTGTTGGACACGTCTAGCGTCGTCAGCGCCGGCAGACGACTGTCTCTGGTACTGCTCCGAGTCTAGCTTGTTGTTGACTGACCTCGTCTCCCGCCGGCAGCGACCTCAAGTGGTTGAGGGCGGCGCTAAGGTCGCGCAGGGCGGGCGCCGTCCATACAGCTGGCGGGAGCGCGCGTAGTTTGTTTTTAGACACATCCAGTGTCGTCAGCGCTGGCAGACGACTGTCTCTGGTACTACTCCGAGTCTAGCTTGTTGTTGACTGACCTCGTCTCCCGCCGGCAGCGCCCTCAAGTGGTTGAGGGCGGCGCTAAGGTCGCGCAGGGCGGGCGCGGTCCATACAGCTGGCGGGAGCGCGCGTAGTTTGTTGTTGGACACGTCCAGGGTCGTCAGCGCTGGGAGACGGAACAGCTCTGGTGGTAACTCTTCGAGACGATTGTCCTGGACAAAATGATATAATGCACAAAATGTATTATCGTCAGTTGCGATCAGACGCGAAACTGTCTGTTGGGTGATGGTGTTGGTCCTTCGAGCCGGATCTTCATCATTTGGCGATGAGGTGGACTGCGTCAATGAAAACAACACTAAAGTCCAGGTTTGTTGACGAAAAAGTTATCTACGGCTGTGGTTGCAATTAGATATTGTCAAACGTTATAAGACTATTTGCTGTTGGTGAATGTCGCGGGAATTGCCTGGATGCGGGCGGCGCAGGACCGTTCTTTGTGGAAAATCTTGGGAGAGGCCTTTGTCCAGCAGTGGACGTCTTTCGGCTGAAACGAACGAACGAGCTCTGGTCCAATCGCAATTTTGGTTGCAGAAGATGCACATTAGCAGGGCCGTCTTTAGCCTACTAGGGGCCCTGGGCACTTACGGATTAAGGGGGGGTCTTATCATCTGGAAAAAGGTCTTTTGAGCAGACGGGGGCCCCTTCCGTCGCGGGGCCCTGCGCACGTGCCCAAAGTGCCCAGTGGGAAAGAGGGGTCTGCACATTAGTTCATTGCATAAGATGCCCTATTCTCTAAACTTGTAAGACTTTTCGCCTACCTGTAAATACAAGTCTTGAAGTGCAGGCGCCGAGTACACGTCGAGTTTGGCGCGCTTTCTGAAACATAAATTGAGAAATAAAAACTTATGAATAACTGCACTGAAAGTAACTTGAGAGCCAACTTCGTTTTTAAAGTCGTTTCATAATACTCGTAAAAGAAATATGATGATAATGATGATGTAATAATGTACTCACTTGCGCGTACGTCCCTTGGGTTCTTCGTCAGGTGGGTCTCCGCTGCGCGGGAGTCGCTCTAGCTTGTTCTGCGCCGCGTTCAAGTACCTGCCATGCAATAAACATATTTAATTTAATTTATTAAATGTACATTTATATATTTTTTAGTCTGTGGTTTAGGTTTTGTCAGAATCTTTGCACTCAAAAGTGATTTTGACTAACGTCCTTGGTCAAAGCCACTTTTAACTGGACCATTCAAAAATGATATTGACCAAGGGCATCAGTCAAAACCACTTTTGACTGATTTTTGCAGTCAAACGTGGTTTTGACCGATTATGAGTTTTGACTGTAACAAATACACCAAACTTATGCCTGTGTTTTCAATTGATTATCCTACACTTGTTTATTTGTTCAAACAAAAAGAGTGGATACTACTGCTCAAACGCAACAACCATATTTTAAATCCTTCTCCATTCTTGCCTTCTGAGCTCAGCAGCTCACCTTAAACTGACGAGCATGAACAGCTCACCAGGCAGCGTCCTTAGTTCATTGTTGGCCAGGTCGATCCTTGTCAGAGCCAGGAGGGCGCCGCTCTTATACAACTGTTCCAGAACCCTCCTCGCTCGTCCCATGTCCTCACGAGCTCGGTAGCTCACTCACCGCAAGCCGACGAGCGTGAACAGCTCAGCAGGCAGCGTCCTTAGTTCATTGTTGGCCAGGTCGATCCTTGTCAAAGCCAGGAGGGCGCCGCTCTTATACAACTGTTCTAGAACCCTCCCCGCTCGTCCCATGTCCTCACGAGCTTGGTAGCTCACTCACCTCAAACTGACGAGCGTGAACAGCTCAGCAGGCAGCGTCCTTAGCTCATTGTTGGCTAGGTCGATTCCTGTTAGGGCCAGCAGGGCGTCGCTCTTATAGAACTGTTCTAGAACCTTCCCCGCTTGTTCCATGTCCTCACGAGCTCGGTAGCTCACTCACCTCAAACTGACGAGCGTGAACAGCTCAGCAGGCAGCGTCCTTAGCTCATTGTTGGCTAGGTCGATTCCTGTTAGGGCCAGCAGGGCGTCGCTCTTATAGAACTGTTCTAGAACCTTCCCCGCTTGTTCCATGTCCTCACGAGCTCGGTAGCTCACTCACCTCAAACTGACGAGCGTGAACAGCTCAGCAGGCAGCGTCCTTAGCTCATTGTTGGCCAGGTCGATTCTTGTAAGGGCTAGTAGGGCTCCGCCCTCGCTGCCCAGGCGCTTGTTAACGCGCAAAGCCGCTGCACGTAGCCAGGACATCCTGAGATACATGACAGTTATTAAAGAAAGCTCCTTCATTTAGATAAATATGTGTATTACAACTCGATCGAGCTAACTGCACACTCCTCTGGAATGCGACTAAGGGGATGAATATCACCTCGTAAGGGGATGAAAATCACCCTCTTAGGGGATGAAAATCACCTCTTAAGGGGATGAAAATCACCTCCTAGGGGGATGAATATCACCTCGTAAGGGGATGAAAATCACCTCCTAGGGGGATGAAAATCACCTCCTAGGGGGATGAAAATCACCTCCTAGGGGGATGAAAATCACCTCCTAGGGAGATGAAAATCACTTTCTAGGGGGGTGAATATCACCTCCAAAGGGGATGAAAATCAGCTCCTAGGGAGATGAATATCACCTCCAAGGGGGATGAAAATAAGCTCCTAAGGGGATGAAAATCAATACCTAAGGGGATGAATATCACCTCCAAAGGTGATGAATATCACCTCCTAAGGGGATGAATATCATCTTCTAAGGGGATGAAAATCTCCTAATAGGGGGATGAAAGTCACCTCCTAAGGGGATGAAAATTACCTAATAGGGGGATGAGTATCGGCTCATAAGGGGATGAAAATCACCTCTTAAGGAGACAAATATCACCTCATAAGGGGATGAATATCACCTTATAAGGGGGTGAAAATTACCTCCTAGGGGGATGAAAATCTCCTAATAAGGGGATGAAATCACGTCTAAGGGTGATTAAAATCACCTCCTAAGGGGATAAAAATCTCCTAATAAGGGGATGAAATCACGTCTAAGGGGATGAAAATTTTATCCTAGGGATGGAATGGGTCCAAAGTTAGCACCTGATGGCGGGCAGCGGGCACTTGAGCTCGCGCCAGTTGACCATGACGGCGGTGGAGGGGCACAGCGCGCTGTACGTCAGCGCCGCGTCCTGCTCTTTTGTCCCGCGTCCTTGGTTTTTGAGGAAAATCACCTCCTATGGGGATGAAAATCTTCTCCTAGGGGGATGAAAATCACCTCATAGGGGGATGAAAATCACCTCCAAGGGGGATGAATATTACCTTCTAAGAGGATGAAAATCACCTCCTAGGGGGATGAAAATCACTTCCTAGGTCAAAGTCAAAGTATTTATTTGCAAAGAATAGGTACAATGGTTTAGTTTAGGGGGATGAATATCACCTCCTAAGGGGATGAAAATCACCTAATAGGGGGATAAATATCACGTCTTAAATGGATGAAAATAGGAAGAGTCTTAGGGGGGGGGGGGGTGAATTTAACCTCCTAAGGCAGTGGTTCTTAAACTTTAAGTCACGAGAAATTTCTGTCTTGTCAGGGACCACTTTTTTTTCAAAATCCTATTTATTTATTTATTAGGTACACCAACAAAGTCACATACATGATACACACATACACATCCTATGAAAGGGGAGGTCGATTTTTCGCCCACTGTACGCCGTTTGCGTTGTGTGAACTCGACTCATCACGTCACGTCACTTGTTTATTACGATGTCTTCGCGGACCACTTGGAATGCCTCCAGGGACCACCAGTGGTCCGCGGACTACCGTTTAAGATCCACTGTCCTAAGGGGATGAAATGGGTCCAAAGTTAGCACCTGATGGCGGGCAGCGGGCACTTGAGCTCGCGCCAGTTGACCATGACGGCGGTGGAGGGGCACAGCGCGCTGTACGTCAGCGCCGCGTCCTGCTCTTTGGTCCCGAACACCGCGTCCGAGACTGCGGACTTGTTCAGCTTGTAGTCCGGGTCTGGGTACGCCTGTGGACGTGGACAAGTTAGTACGACTCGAAGTTCGTTTGTTCGTTCGTTTCAGCCGAATGACGTCCACTGCTAGACAAAGGCCTCCTCCAAGGTTTTCCACAATGAACGGTCTTGCGCTGCTCGCATCCATCGCATCGACTCAAAGTAATGATGGATAATCGAAGTCAAAAGACAGTCTAGAGTCAAAACTCAAAAGTCAAGTCAAAAACAAAGTCAATGTCAAATCTTTTTAAGACAACGGGAAAGTCAGTAAATAAAATAAAATTCATTTCAATGCCAAAATTAAGAATCACAGCTCAAGCTAAAATCATGGTCAAAAGATATGGTTTCAAAGTCAATGTTGAAAGAAAAAAAACAAAAGTCAAATAAAAATCTAATGTCAAAGCCATGAAGTCAAAATGACAGGCCAAAGTCAAAGGTCAGTTTAAAGTCAAACCCAATTCAGAACCGCAATTCCAAATCAAAGCAGCCGGCGGCTAGCGGCGCCTCCGCCAGCGCCGAGAAGTCGTACCTTAGTGGCCAGCAAGCTAGCCAGCAGGTCCGCCAGCGCCGAGCAGTCGTACCTTAGTGGCCAGCAAGCTAGCCAGCAGGTCCGGCAGCGCCGAGCAGTCGTACCTTAGTGGCCAGCAAGCTAGCCAGCAGGTCCGGCAGCGCCGAGCAGTCGTACCTTAGTGGCCAGCAAGCTAGCCAGCAGGTCCGGCAGCGCCGAGCAGTCGTACCTTAGTGGCCAGCAAGCTAGCCAGCAGGTCCGGCAGCGCCGAGCAGTCGTACCTTAGTGGCCAGCAAGCTAGCCAGCAGGTCCGGCAGCGCCGAGCAGTCGTACCTTAGTGGCCAGCAAGCTAGCCAGCAGGTCCGGCAGCGCCGAGCAGTCGTACCTTAGTGGCCAGCAAGCTAGCCAGCAGGTCCGGCAGCGCCGAGCAGTCGTACCTTAGTGGCCAGCAAGCTAGCCAGCAGGTCCGGCAGCGCCGAGCAGTCGTACCTTAGTGGCCAGCAAGCTAGCCAGCAGGTCCGGCAGCGCCGAGCAGTCGTACCTTAGTGGCCAGCAAGCTAGCCAGCAGGTCCGGCAGCGCCGAGCAGTCGTACCTTAGTGGCCAGCAAGCTAGCCAGCAGGTCCGGCAGCGCCGAGCAGTCGTACCTTAGTGGCCAGCAAGCTAGCCAGCAGGTCCGGCAGCGCCGAGCAGTCGTACCTTAGTGGCCAGCAAGCTAGCCAGCAGGTCCGGCAGCGCCGAGCAGTCGTACCTTAGTGGCCAGCAAGCTAGCAAGCAGGTCGGGCAGCTGGTGTCGCGCGCACTCCCGGACGGCCAGCCCGTGCGGGTCGGAGGCGCCGGCCGCGAGCAGCGCCTCCGCCAGCGCCGTTTGCCGCCCACGCACCGCCAGCGCCAGCGCCGACCACGGGAGGTCTCCTGAGAATGGTACAAGCATATCACATAGAAATAGCAGTACATAAAAACTAAAAATATCATTTGGTCCTTCGAGCCGGATGTTTATTTATTTACTAATTTTTAAATTATAGCCTAAAATATGCTATTCTGATGTATGAGTATAAAAAATATAATTATAAAGATCCATGTCGTCAATAATTAACGAACATCCATTCATCCATACATCGTCACAACAAATCACATTTATAACATTTAGTAGGAAGGAGTGAACAGTCAAACCTGTACAATTTAAGGAGACTCATAATCTATCTGTGAGTAGAATAAATAAGTTAAGTGTTAACATATCAATACTAACTGTCAGCGCTGCAGCCGCGTTGAATAGCCGCCGATGCGCTGCGCGAGCGCCGCCGCTCCCGTTCGCCACTCTCCTGCCACTAAAATAAATTTTAACAATTGAATAATGTTAGTTAAATTACCCTATTTGTATTCATGTCAGAGTATAGATAGGGTAAAGATGTTGGATGGCTGACAGCATAAATTAAATAAATCGTCACCTAAGCGTGTGGGTTAGCCGCGGGCGCATCCGGCGGCCAACAGCCGGCGTTGTAACCTCGCGTCGGCGACGGCGACGGCGCGCCACACAACTGTCGCCTTAACTTTGAGCAACTCAACTTAGCGAGCGACTTGGTACCTTGGGAAAAAGCGGTTCACGGTCTCTTTACTTCTGTGTGTCACTTCATATCGGTTCTGAACAGCTCACTTGCTTGGACTGTGACTGATCTGCCTTGGCTTTGTCTCACTTTGGCGTGATAGACGACTGCTGACCTTGGCTTGAGAGTAGTCTCCTTGCCTTTGTGTCCCACATTAACTGTGTGTCTCACCTTAGCATGTGGGTTGGCAACGGGTGCGTCCGCTCTCGCGCCGGCGGCCAGCAGCCGGCGTAGGAAGTGGGCGTCGGCGGCGGCGACGGCGCGCGCCACGCAGCTGTCGGCTTACTGCTAGCCTTGTCATACCACTTGTCTCCTAGCGTGCATATTAGCGCCCAGACTATATCTCACTTAACATCAGGTGCGAATGTGGTCAAATACCCGCTCATTCTCACTTTAGCGGGTGGGTTAATTGTCTTCTCAACTGTGTGCAACTCAACTCAACTCAGTTTGGGGGTTGTCTCCTAGGCTCTGACTGCTTCACCTTGGCTTTTCAGCCTTCCAGCTTTCGCCTTGTCATGCCACTTGTCTCCTTGTCTCACTTTAATGAGCGGGTTAGCACCCAGACTATATGACGCTCACTTTAGCGGGTGGGTTGTCTTCTCAATTGTGCAACTCAACTCAGTTGTGTTTCCTAGTGCCTCACCTAGAATTTCTAGTTCACCTTGACACACTACTTATCTCCCTCAGTTCTTAAAGCTTACCTTAGCGTGCGGGTTGGCAGCGGGCGCGTCCGCTGTCGCGCCGGCGGCCAGCAGCCGGCGTAGTAGGCGGGCGTCGGCGGCGGCGACGGCGCGCGCCACACAGCTGTCGCCTTAACTTTGAGCAACTCAACTTAGCGGGCGAATTGATACCTTGATTGGCTAAGTGCGATTCACCTTTGCGAGTGACTTGTCTCTTTAGCTCCGTGTATTGCTTCGTCTCGGTTTTGAACGGCTCACTTGCCTAGGTTGTGACTGGGCTGCCTTGACGTGATAGCTTGCAAGTTGTCTCTTTGAGTCTGAACTGCCGACCTTCGCTTGGTAGTTCTCCTTGTCTCTATGTCTCACGTTAACTTATGGGTTGTCTCTTCAACTCTCGTGTTACTTGTCTCTGTGTACTCTGTTCTCACCTTAGCGTGTGGGTTGGCAGCGGGCGCATCCGCTCGAGCGCCGGCAGCCAGTAACCGGCGTAGTAGACGGGCGTCGGCGGCGGCGACGGCGCGCGCCACGCAGCTGTCGGCGCCGACGCGCCGGTCCAACGCTACGGGCCGCACGCGCTGGCTGCCCGGACCGCTGTCCTGCACACAATCAAAGTAATTCACTAGCTGACGCTGTATTTTTTACCACCAGAAAACAATTAGAGCATGTGAATTAAAACTTCTTTAGTATGACTCCAAAAATTTACAATAAATTACCACAGACACTAAAAGACACAAATATTCAGATAAATTGTAAGATTCTTGACTTTTTTTTATGTTTAAATGTTTATGAAATTGTTACTGATTGGACATTACTAAATTACTAACTTACTTTTTATTTTATTAAATTTATACTAACCTAATACGACTCAATGATGTTATGTAAATTTGTACGCCGACCTTGGGCCACACATAGTGATACCGACTACTTAATTTTTAACACCTGTAATATGTAATTTACCTATGTTCCACGAATAAACGAATTTTGATTTTTTTGATTTTGATTTTGATGACGAGTCACGATCGCATCAGATCGATGAGATGATTCCACCCGATCCGGCGTCGAACAAGACTGAAACCGGATCATCAAAACATGTGCTTGCTGATCCTGACCCCTTCTATTCTTCCTGTAGATGTCGTAAACGACGATTACACGACAAATATACGAAACATCAGGCCTCCTCACTTCATCTGGTTAAGGCCCAAAGTAAATTAATGTGGATGCAAGCAGAATCTAAAAATGACCTAATAATGATGATGAAGTGATGAGATATTTTTTTAAGTCCCGTTGGATCATCGTGGTAAGCTAAATATGCTTGTATCACGATTCACGAGTGAGCTCGCCACAATAGTCCAGCGGCGGCGAGGACCGAACCCGCGTTCCCCGGATCACGAGTCGGCCAGTCCGACCGCTTCAACGTTCGGCTATCGTGGTTATCGTGGCTAATAAGTAATACATTATCCCATCAAAAACAATACTTGTCAAAAAAACCAAGTCTCGCAACTCAGTTGTTCTACGGTAAAAAGTTGTGAGATCCATGTAATACCAAGTCCAGGCCANATTAAAGTCGAAGTCAAACATTCTTTATTTGTGTGGACCTATATTAACGAGAGAATTTCGCGAAGCTTCCCGAACGCTGCCCAGCCGAGTTGGATTCGACGATTAACCTCTTTCTCGAAGTTGGACCTACCTAACTGGACTGTTTGTCCCAGGTATACATAATTGTCAACAACTTCGAGTATAGTGTCTCCAACCTTCAGAGGAGTGGGTACAACACGGGCATTTGACATAATTTTCTTAAGGCTGGGCAGCGTTCGGGAAGCTTCGCGAAATTCTCACGTCCGAAATACCGCAGTGTCTCAAGTCAAAAGTGTTTGACCAGTGTGTGTTGCCAGTGATGGTGTATGGCTCTGAGACGTGGTCGCTTACTATGGGCCTCATAAGAAGGCTCAAGGTCACCCAAAGAGCGATGGAGCGTGCTATGCTCGGAGTTTCCCTGCGTGATCGAATCAGAAATGAGGAGATCCGTAGGAGAACCAGAGTGACTGACATAGCCCGCAGAATCGCTAAAATCAAGTGGCAGTGGGCGGGGCACATAGCTCGAAGAGNGCCCGGATCCAAATCGGTGACCTCCACTTTTTTCCTTTTTTTACTACCCCTCCCCATCGTCTTAATAAACTTTCCTAACAACAAAAATCTAACAGATTTAGTTTTATTAATTTAAAACTTTCGGAAGCGCGCCTTGCCACTTCGAAGTTTCCCGCCTTTTTTTCACACAAATTGATTGACAACAATCAACTCAAGTCACGTGACTTCAAAATGTCAGTGCAGGTGCGTTCAGAAACGTCACCGGGTAGGTATTTGTTCAGACGCCTTTTTTAGAAAGCAGCGCTGGGCGCTGCGTTTAGATACAACCCGCGAGTAAGGGTAAGGTAAAAAAATAAAAACAACAATCTGTTAAACATTTTCGAATTTGTATTCTCAAAATGATACACCAATGAATTTTGTCTAACCATCTACCAAACACCCTGTATAATGCGTCGACGCCGGTACTGCGTCACTATTATAACACTTGGTGAGATAAAATAGCGTAGGAAATTAATCACACCGACATCACAGGAAGAATCACAATCACATTGACAAATGTCAAACGTCAAACAAACCTAAAAGCGGTTCTGCGCATGTCAAGTCTTCACGGCCTTTCTGCGAAGTTGAGATTGAGGACAATCTGGATAAAACTTTCTGAATTTCTGAACGGTCTCTTGTCATCTTGTGACGCCTAGAGTGCATTCGAGTTCTAGTTTCCGGTCATTCTGAACGCGCGAACAGAAAAATTTTACCTACAAGGGGACGTTTCTGAACGCACCACAACTTTTTTAGGCAATGGCATTCGCTATAACAGCAAAAAAAAAGAAAAATTATAACTTTTTGTTTTATGTAATATTTAAAAGGCGTAAACCATACTCGAGTCGTACGTATTACGTGTTAATCTTGTTTTTATAGCGAAATATCAATATAATCGTTGACTCGATTAATCTATCGACAAACGTTTCCGGCTCCGCAGTATCTTGTCACTTATCTAGAGGACTCTTTCTTACAAAAGTAGTACTCGCGCGCAATGAATTAATATTTATTTTGATCTCTGAATGATTGATGATTGTCAATAGTTAGTAAATATTTTAAAATATTAAGTAACATGTTTTAAATAAATCTATTAAAAGTGAAAGTTTACTACTTAGACATCTACCCTATGTCATGCAGGGAAATTAAGACTTTGGTAACATCCTAAAAACCTTAGATTATACAGAGACCGAACTACTACTCAAATCTGGATAAATTCTCATTGTTTTACCTACCTTAGGATTTGGATATTTACAACTACAACTTAAACTAGGTATATTCTAAATTTTTATGCAATCAAATATTTTCTCTTTATAATATTGGTGTGGATAATTACTGCGGATTCACTACTGTTTCTCTTTTCATGTATTAAACTTTAGCATGTCGGCCGTTTGGTGTAGTGGTTCAGAACGGACTAATATGCCGAGAGGTCCCGGGTTCGATTCCCGGCCGGGCAGAAATTGAAATGATGAATTTTAATTTCTGTGACGGGTCTGGGTGTAAATATGTATAATATGTATGTATTTAATTAAAAAAAAGCATATAAGTAGTATATCCGTTAAGCTAGCATCCATAACACAAGCATTGAGTTGCTTACTTTGGGGCTAGCTGGCGCTGTGTGAAATTGTCCAAAGATTTATAAAAAAAAATTATAATAAAAATAAACTTTTTTAAAAACAAGCTTTTATTCTGAATTTCGAAAGTTTGTATCGCGCATGGAATTTATTCCTCTTTTTCTCTGTTTGCGCTACAAGCTTTCGAAATTCAGAATAAAAGCTTGTTTTTAAAAAAGTTTATTTTTATTATAATTTTATTTTAGGGGCTCAGCAGCAGACATAGAATCAATTTTCATTTTACAGAAAAGAGCTGTTCGGGCAATATACGGTCTTAAACCACGTGACTCGCTTAGAGAAGTTTTTAAAGAAATCAATATATTGACTGTGGCTTCGCAATACATATTTGATAACATTATGTATGTCCGTAAACATATACATTTATTTACTAAGAAAAGTGACGTCCACTCATTTAACACGAGACATAAGAATAAACTTGCTGTTCCATCATTTAGGTTGCATAAGATAGGTAATTCATTCTTGGGGAAATGTATTACCATATTTAACAAAATACCACACAACCTTGTCGAATTGCCAATAAACAAATTTAAGATACATATAAAAAATACCCTTATGTCCAAAGGGTACTACAAGGTTCGAGACTATATTGATGACAAGGATGCGTGGTCAGTTCAGTCTGCACATATTTGATGTACTTAAATTTGACTATTCTTACCTTTAGATAATTCCTGGCAATAAGTGGTGACTGAGTTTGTTCCGGCGTTTCTTCTCAGCACTTGCCATATGTTTGTCTCGAAGCGCTGGTAGGGCCCAAAAGATAAGGAGACATGTAAAGTGCCCCATAAGGGCTACCTTTTTCTTTTTTTATTATTTTCTATTGACGTTCATAAGTGCCACTTGTGGTCTAAACTGAATAAATATTTTTTGATTTTGATTTTGATTTTGATTTACTGGTTTGTCTAATGACGGCCGGTAAAATGGTAGAGGTCGCAAATGTACAACCAAACTCCTTGGCCGCGCGCCTGGCTGTCGAGAAACTTCTTTTTTTATTTTGTGTATTTTACTGATCTTGTCACTTTTTTCTCTTCTCTTGACTTTTCGACTCTGAACTAAAAACATGTAATTTAATTTTTCATTCCACAAAGCCTTTCAATCAAATAATCTCTCGTAGTGAAAGACGTGAATTTCGTTCACTGCTTCTGCTAGACTATTGCTCTGATTAGCTGCGAGGGTCCATGGCACCTGTAGAGGGTCGGGAGCCTAGTGCCGTGGCTATATGGGAATGATGGGAATGAGGTCCTTACTGTAGTGACTCTTGCCACGGGAATGAAGTCCTTACTGTAGTGACTCTTGCCACGGGAATGAGGTCCTTACTGTAGTGACTCTTGCCACGGGAATGAGGTCCTTACTGTAGTGACTCTTGCCACGGGAATGAGGTCCTTACTGTAGTGACTCTTGCCACGGGAATGAGGTCCTTACTGTAGTGACTCTTGCTACGGGAATGAGGTCCTTACCAGAGCGACTCTTGCTACGGGAATGAGGTCCNTAATAAAAATATATTTATAAAAAAAAGCTTTAGCATGTTCAATTGTTAGTAGCAATCATTTTGTAGTTACGGAAGAGTGGCTCCTTCTGACACAAATGGAAATGCACTTAAAATAATGAGTCAACCTTTGTTTTTAGTTATAAGAAACTTTGATACTGAAATAAAGTTATTTATTATTTATTTATTTATTTACTGACTGACTCAATCGTCATAAAATCTCAGAAACTACAAGTGCTAGGAGTCTCAAATTTTGCATGGAGGTTCATTTTAGAACGTAAGTGCTCAATAAGGCTCGGCGCAAATGGGCCACCGATCACAGGCACCGGTGGCCAGCGACGGCGACTTAACACACTTTTTAATATATTTCGTATAGACGCGCCGCACACGTGTGTCCGGCGGCGGCCACTCGCTACAGTAGTGTTTGCGACTCGCCACTTATGGTCACTACGTGCCACACAAAACGCCGTCGCCCGCCACTGTCGCACTGCTTCACCCCCCGCTAGAGATGGGTTGGATTAAAATACCTAATCCAAATACCTATTCCGAATATTTTTAGCAACGAGCGGGTTATAAAATGTGGCGGCTTCCAGGCACCGGTGGCTGTCGCTCGCTTCTGACACTCTTAGAAATGCGGCGGTAGCGCGCGACAACCACAGGTGGCTGTGGTTGGTGGCCCATTTGCGCCGAACCTTAGACGGGATTTTGCAAGATTGTAAAGCGGGATCCACGCGTACGAAATAAAAAAAAACAAGTGCGTGTCGTGGCACGCGCAATGTAGGGTTTCGTAGTTGTCCTTCTTTACCACAATATATTTCAGAAGCAAGCAATTACTTCGTCTAAAGTCACTTTTAATATTTTCTGCTAAGGAATTCTTAAACTGATCTATCTTAACCGCTATAGTTTTCCTTGAAAGTTCATAAAAAGCACTATTATCATGAATTTTTCCAGATTTTTCAAACCAACAGTTTAGTTTTTTTAAGGGGGCTGGCGCCCAACTCGGACGAAAATTGGCACTTTAAACATTAACATTTTGCTAACGGATCCCTAAATCGAAAAATGGTCTTAGGCCTTGTCAGGACTACGGAACCCTAAAAGTGACGTACCCACTCGTCGTCGCTGTTCTGCCTGGCATCGGCGGCCGTCAGTCCGTCGTCGTCCGTCGTCAGCTGGATGCGCGTCAGCAGATTGTTGGACAGGATCTGCAATACATGGCTAAGATCACCACCATCTCAAGCATATTCCCGGTAATATTGCCTCAACTATAAATGATGATTTATTTGCATTTGAAAAAGGGTATATTTACAATGTGAATTACAAGAATGTCCAAAAGTATGTCAAATTACATTAGAAAAAAATTAATTCACAGTTTACACAGCAACAAAAGGAATAAACAATAGTTAATACATACATGTCAAAATAATGAGAAAAACTATAGCTACATTCCAATAAATATTACTTATCGCAACAAATATTCCTAATAATTTCCCACCAATATTGTTGCTAAAAAGCGTGGGCAGGCCTCCTACTAGGTGGACCGACGATCTGGTGAAGGTCGCGGGAGGTGCCTAGATGCGAGCGGCGCAGGACCGGTCTTTGTGGAAATCCTTGGGGGAGGCCTTTGTCCAGAAGTGGACGTCTTTCGGCTGAAACGAACGAACGATTGTCGCCAAATATGGCAACATCCTTCCAATTATTCCCGGTAATATTGCCGTAACTATAGCAACATTCCCGTTATAATATTGCCGCAACATTTACAATATTTATGTGAATATTGAAGCAGCATTAGCAGCATTAGCCAAACGGTAAAGGTGTCGGATTGGCCGTCTTGAGATCCGAGGAACGAGCTTCAAAGGGTTCTTTCAAATTAGGCGTTTTGAGCTGTATGTCAGTCGTACGTTTGCGTTGCCGCACACTGTTATTAACTGATTGTCATTTTTATTCCAACGCAGTTGTAATAAAATTTTCAGTGTGCGGTCCTGCAAACGGACGACAAACGTCCGTCTCAAAACGTCTAATTTGAAAGAACCCAAACCCTGCCTGTACTACTACACGGGAATGAGGTCCTAGGATATCACACACATTTACCAGCGGCTCCCCAACTAAAAATATTGAAAAAACCAACATAGTAATGTTCAGTGATGAGTTAGGCAAAAATATGGGCCAACTGATTAATAGTTATTTGGGACAAAGTGTGATCAACCATTGTTTACCGGGTGCTTCCTATTTACAAATTATGAGAAAAATAACAAATTATTCGTTCTCAATAAATACCACATTAGTAATTTTAATGGGAAATAGGGGCAATGTAGGCAAAAAAGACCTACTAAATATTTTTGATAGCTTATGTTTACTTAATGTAGATAAAATAATTTTGTTCACATTCCCCTACAGTAGAAGCTTGCCACAGGAGGAAAATAATTTAAGATATAAATTGAATTTGACATTGAATACACTGACATATAATCAATGCAAATTCCATGTAATTGACATTAACAATTATTTAAAAAATAAATGTTTATTGACAATAGATAAATATAATTATCTAAATAAATATTGTAAAAGACGAATAGCGAATTCGCTATCATATTTTATTAAATATTTAGCCATTAATTTGGCTAGCCAAACTGCTTTTATTGAGCAGATGAGGTCCTTACCAGAGCGACTTGCTACGGGAATGAGGTCCTTACCAGAGCGACTCTTGCCACGGGAATGAGGTCCTTACCAAAGCGACTCTTGCTACGGGAACGAGGTCCTTACCAGAGCGACTTGCTACGGGAATGAGGTCCTTACCAGAGCGACTTGCTACGGGAATGAGGTCCTTACCAGAGCGACTCTTGCCACGGGAATGAGGTCCTTACCAAAGCGACTCTTGCTACGGGAATGAGGTCCTTACCGTAGTGACTCTTGCCACTAGATTTCTTTTTTTTTTATGTGACAGGAGGCAAACGAGCAGACGGATCACCTTATGGTAAGTGATCACCGTCGCCCATAGACACCCGCAGACCCAGGGGCGTTACAGGTGCGTTGCCGGCCTTTAAGGTGAAGATACGCTCTCCTGAATGAGGTATCCTTGCCGGAGTGAGTGTTACTATGGGAATGAGGTCCTTACTGTAGTGACTCTTGTCCTTACCAGAGCGAGTCTTGCCACGGGAATGAGGTCTCCTTACCGAAGTGAGTCTTACTATGGTAATGAGGTCTTTACTGTAGTGGGCTCACCAGGGTCCGCAGCCCCTCGAGACGCAGGTGGCGGCGCGCCGGGCAGGCGGCGTGCAGCAGCTGCGCGCGCACGGAGCCGCCGGAGCGTGCGCGCGCGCGTGCCGGCGGGTGCGCGCAGTAGCACGCCAGAGGATCGCCCTCTGTCGAGCCAAAGTTCTCGATCTGCGTGCCGAGAGCGAGTGGGTTGTAAAGGCCGGCCGCCGAGCAGATAGAATTTCGTCCAACGACCCCAAGCTACCCATCCTTATCGCTCGTGCTTAATTATATTGCCGCAGTGAGTGTGCGAGCGCGACAGTAATATAATTATGCGCGAGAGTAGCTTGGGGTCATTGGACGAAATTATATCTGCTCGGCGACCGGACTTTAGTCATCGCTAAGGTTATGGCCAGACTAATAGCTGGGATAAAATTGCTCATGGTTCTAAAACTTTAACACGAGGCACAAAGGTTTAAAATGATATTGTAAACATACATTTCGGGATGGTTAATGACACAATAAATGTTTTATTGATTGATTGATTTGGTAATGGTTACCTGCGGAAGACTGGGCCAACAAGTGATCTCATTGTGACTGAGGTCTAACTGCCGTAGACTCGTAGGGTATGACGTCACGTATGACATCGACCTGCAACAACATTCAACGTGAAAGGCCAACAGTTCTACGAATTATGTGCCCCACCCACTGACACTTAAGTTTGGCAATTCCAGTCTCCTATCGATGACTTCGGTCGTCTTACGGATCTCTTCATTTCTTATTCTACGGGAATGAGGTCCTTACCGGAGCGACTCTTGCCACGGCAATAAGGTCCTTACCAGGGCGACTCTTGCCACGGGAATGAGCTACTTACCAGAGCGACTCTTCTGCGGTAATGAGATCCTTACCAGAGCGACTCTTGCTGTTGGAATGAGGTTCTTACCAGAACGACTCTTGCCACGGGAATGAGGTCCTTACCAGAGCGACTCTTGCTACGGGAATGAGGTCCTTACCGGAGTGACTCTTGCCACGGGAATGAGGTCCTTACCAGAGCGACTCTTCTGCGGGAATGAGGTCCTTACCGTAGTGACTCTTGCCACGGGAATGAGGTCCTTACCGTAGTGACTCTTGTCACGGAAATGAGCTCCTTACCAGAGCGACTCTTGCCACGGGAATGAGGTCCATACCAGAGCGACTCTTGCCACGGGAATGAGGTCCTTACTAGAGTGACTCTTGCTACGGAAATAATCCCTTACCAGAGCGACTCTTGCCACGGGAATGAGGTCCTTACCGTAGTGACTCTTGCTGCGGGAATGAGGTCCTTACCAGAGCGACTCTTGCTGCGGGAATGAGGACCTTACCAGAGCGACTCTTGCTACTGGAATGAGGTCCTTACCAGAGCGACTCTTGCTGGAGCCTTACCGGTGCCTTATCGGAGCGAATGTTGCCACGGGAATGAGGTCCTTACCAGAGCGACTCTTCTTCCGGGAATGAGGTCCTTACCGCAGCGACTCAGGTGTCGCTGAGTCGCGTGACAAGTCACGGGAATGTGCACCTTACCAGAGCGACTTTTGCCACGGGATTGTGCGCCTTACCTCAACGAATTATAAGCCATATTAAGCCGCGTGAGCCGCGGCGCGCGGCAGGCGAGCGGCGGCGGCACGCAGGTGAACTGGTTGTGAGCGAGGTTGAGCGAGGCAGGTGACTTGTCACGGGAATGTAGTCCTTACTGTAGTGACTCTTGCCACGGGAATGAGGTCCTTACCAAAGCTACTTGTGCTACGGGAATGTAGACCTTACTCTAGTGACTCTTGCCGCGGGACTGTGCGCCTTACTGTAGTGACTCTTGCCACGGGAATGAGGTCCTTATTAGAGTGACTCTTACCACGGTAACGAGGTCCTTACCAGAGCGACTCTTGCTACGGGAATGAGGTCCTTACTAGAGTGACTCTTGCTACGGAAATAATCCCTTACCAGAGCGACTCTTGCCACGGGAATGAGGTCCTTACCGTAGTGACTCTTGCTACGGGAATGAGGTCCTTACCAGAGCGACTCTTGCTACAGGAATATGAATTTTATCAGAGCGAATGTTGCTACGGGAATGAGGACCTTACCTCAACGAATTATAAGCCATATTGAGCCGCGTGAGCCGCGGCGCGCGGCAGGCGAGCGGCGGCGGCACGCAGGTGAACTGGTTGTGAGCCAGGTTGAGCGAGGTGAGCCGCGAGCCGGCGGCGGCGGGCGCGGGCGACTCCAATGGGTCGAGCTCGCCACGCCACGCGTGCGGGCGGCGGGCTTCCGACCAGCTGTTGGTAGATAAATTATTTCGTGAATACATCCAGTGGGTCTAGATAAGTGACACTTTTTGATCGAATCCAAGAGCTTACTCGTTGTGGATAAAAAAAAATTTTTTTGGTCCTACCTTTTACCACAGAATAATAATAAGTACTACGTACAGAAGGTTTACTTCGCGAAGGTATTTAAAAAAATGCATGCTCAATGTCATTAACAATATGGTGTAATTTAGCTTGTTTCAAGAGTCAAGCACCATTTTGTTGACAAACGTCAGTTATCGGTACTGCGTCAAAGCCATAGGGCTGACTTCGGTAAAATGATATGTGACGTGAGATGCCAAACTGCAGAAAATGGCGGAGGAAATACATGATTAAGCATGAATTACCATGAATAAATTTAACCACTTATTTACCTCTCAGTGTCTTCAGGTAACTTCAAAAAGTACATTCTGTGTTTTTATTATTATTTAAGCAGTTAAATACTACACAGTATTTAGTACACCATTTTCTTTATTTATTTTTTCCATCATACGCAAGAATACGCGTGCGTGAGTCAATGTTCGCTCTTATGTGAGGCCTTGTCGAATAGTATCCTGTAGGTGGGCCATCGTGCTTGTTTTGTTTTCGATGTAAACTCGCGGAGATGAACAGGCCTGCTTTTACTTATTCAAACTGTGTGTGTCATTTCTTTTTTATGTTGGAACCAAAATAAATGTTTTTCTTTCTTCCAAATCCGTTGTAAATCCATGCAAAAAAAAGGCTTTCCGACCATTTTTGACATAAGAACAGTCAAATTTTGCAACTTGTCAATAGGGGCTGGAAACCTAGATAACCCATCAAACTTCAAGAGTTCGCAGAAGACCGCGTACCAAGTGATTTCTATTGTTCGTTTGATTTTTTTTTTAGATTTCGAAGCTTGAAGGGCTACAGTAACATTCGTGAAAGTGTTATTAATTTAGAATTTTGTCGATACTTTTGTTTAGGTGTCTTAGGTCAACACTCCTTTCGGTAGAAATTTTCTTCTGATTACTTTTATTGAGAATCCAATGACAGTTTAATTTTCTACTCAGAATAACTCGTACTTTTTGGTCAATTTTAAGTCCAGTTGTAGATCCTGGCTGCATACAAGTTGCAGTGAGAGAGTTTTGTATGGCTCTTGCCTCCATAATTTATATCTTCTGTAGATCGGCTACACACACAAGTTGCAGTGGTTGCAGTGGGAACGAAAGAGTTTTGTATGGTTCTTGTCTCCGTATTTTAAATCTTATTTTCTTATCATAAGGTCGTAAACCAATGATCAACATGTGATAGTTAAAAAAACTCACACAGCATGTCCTCCACGGCCGGCCACTACAACGGGCGCGTCGTCGTCGGGCGCCTCGCTGTCGCTGCGCTCGATGGACGGACTGCGCGACGAGTTCTTCTGCGGACGAAGGCATATTATCAGTAATAGCACAGTGGGACAGTATGGCCCAGGGAGGACAGTCTGGGCTAGGGAGGGCAGTCTGGACCAGGGGGACAGTCGAGCTCAAGATGACAGTCCAGCTCAGGGGGACATTCTGGGCCAGGGAGGACAGTCTGGACCAGGGGGGTACCTGGTCCAGACTGTACCTTTTTAGCTAGACTGTCACCCCTGGGCCAGAATGTCCCCCCTGAGTCAGACTGTCACCCCTGGGCCAAAATGTCCCCCCTGAGCCAGACTGTCCCTCCTGGTCCAATTGCCCCTCTGAGCAAGACTGTCCTCCTGGGCCAGACTGTCACCCCTGGACAAAATGTCCCCCCTAAGTCAGACTGTCACCCCTGGGCCAAAATGTCCCCCCTGAGCAAGACTGTCCTCCTGGGCCAGACTGTCTGTCCGGACCAGGAGGACAGTCTAGAACAGGAGGAGACAGTCTGGCTAAAAGGGTACAGTCTGGACCAAGGGTATGTATGGCTCAGCGGGGACAGTCTGACGTCGCACTCACCGACTGGTCTGCGCTGCGCTCTGCGGCCTCCGGCTCGGCGGGAGGCTGCGGGGACGCCTCGGACGGAGACAGCGCCGTTGGGCTGCTGCATTCACTCGTATTCTGGAAAATTCCAGTCTTTTAACAACAGGGTACGTACTTTACAATACAGGCAACAATAAGTGACGATGTTTAACTACCGATTATAAACTTGTTTTAGATTTTAGACAGTTAGTCTAATAAAATCGCCGCCCAAACTACTTCAATGAGCGTATTAGTGCAGCGCTAAACGCACGCGCTGGCGATTCATCATTTTTTGAGAGAATTTTGAGTCTAAACGACTCGCACTGGCAATTAATGCTGTCAGTTAACCAGGCAGTGGTTTCAACGATGCTTTGGTATGACACTTAAACCAGCTCTTTGTCTAGCCTAGTTTGTTGTTGGACACGCCACACAGGCAGGCGGCATGTTGTTGACACTCCAGCGGCGCCAGCCCGGCAGCCGGCTTGTTGTTGGACACGTCCAGCGTCGTCAGCGCCGGCAGACGACTGTCTCTGGTACTACTCCGAGTCTAGCTTGTTGTTGACTGACCTCGTCTCCCGCCGGCAGCGCCCTCAAGTGGTTGAGGGCGGCGCTAAGGTCGCGCAGGGCGGCCGCGGTCCATACAGCTGGCGGGAGCTTGTTGTTGGACACGTCCAGCGTCGTCAGCGCCGGCAGACGACTGTCTCTGGTACTACTCCGAGTCTAGCTTGTTGTTGACTGACCTCGTCTCCCGCCGGCAGCGCCCTCAAGTGGTTGAGGGCGGCGCTAAGGTCGCGCAGGGCGGCCGCGGTCCATACAGCTGGCGGGAGCTTGTTGTTGGACACGTCCAGCGTCGTCAGCGCCGGCAGACGACTGTCTCTGGTACTACTCCGAGTCTAGCTTGTTGTTGACTGACCTCGTCTCCCGCCGGCAGCGCCCTCAAGTGGTTGAGGGCGGCGCTAAGGTCGCGCAGGGCGGCCGCGGTCCATACAGCTGGCGGGAGCTTGTTGTTGGACACGTCCAGCGTCGTCAGCGCCGGCAGACGACTGTCTCTGGTACTACTCCGAGTCTAGCTTGTTGTTGACTGACCTCGTCTCCCGCCGGCAGCGCCCTCAAGTGGTTGAGGGCGGCGCTAAGGTCGCGCAGGGCGGCCGCGGTCCATACAGCTGGCGGGAGCTTGTTGTTGGACACGTCTAGTGTCGTCAGCGCCGGCAGACGACTGTCTCTGGTACTGCTCCGAGTCTAGCTTGTTGTTGACTGACCTCGTCTCCCGCCGGCAGCGCCCTCAAGTGGTTGAGGGCGGCGCTAAGGTCGCGCAGGGCGGCCGCGGTCCATACAGCTGGCGGGAGCTTGTTGTTGGACACGTCTAGTGTCGTCAGCGCCGGCAGACGACTGTCTCTGGTACTGCTCCGAGTCTAGCTTGTTGTTGACTGACCTCGTCTCCCGCCGGCAGCGCCCTCAAGTGGTTGAGGGCGGCGCTAAGGTCGCGCAGGGCGGCCGCGGTCCATACAGCTGGCGGGAGCTTGTTGTTGGACGCATCTAGTGTTGTCAGCGCCGGCAGACGACTGTCTCTGGCACTACTCCGAGTCTAGCTTGTTGTTGACTGACCTCGTCTCCCGCCGGCAGCGACCTCAAGTGGTTGAGGGCGGCGCTAAGGTCGCGCAGGGCGGGCGCCGTCCATACAGCTGGCGGGAGCGCGCGTAGTTTGTTGTTGGACACGTCCAGGGTCGTCAGCGCTGGGAGACGGAACAGCTCTGGCGGTAACTCTTCGAGACGATTGTCCTGGACAAAATGATATAATGCACAAAATGTATTATCGTCAGTTGCGATCAGACGCGAAACTGTCTGTTGGGTGATGGTGTTGGTCCTTCGAGCCGGATCTTCGTCATTTGGCGATGAGGTGGACTGCGTCAATGAAAACAACACTAAAGTCCAGGTTTGTTAACGAAAAAGACATTTTTTTTTACTTTTTTTTAAAATAATTTCACAAAATATAAAACTGGCACACGCCATGTTTTTTTTTCTGTATTTTATCTACGACTGTGGTTGCAATTAGACATTTTCACACGTTATAAGACTATTTGCTGGTGAAACTCTGGTCCACTAGGTGGACCGACGATCTGGTGAAGGTTGCGGGAATTGCCTGGATGCGAGCGGCGCAGGAACGTTCTTTGTGGAAAATCTTGGGGGAGGCCTTTGTCCAGCAGTGGACGTCTTTCGGTTGAAACGAACGAACGAACTCTGGTCCAGTCGCAATTTTGATTGCAGAAGATGCACATTAGTTCATTGCATAGTTTGTTCTATTGTCTAAACTTGTAAGACTTTTCGCCTACCTGTAGATACAAGTCTTGAAGCGCAGGCGCCGAGTACACGTCGAGTTTGGCGCGCTTTCTGAAACATACATTCAGAATGAAAAACGTATGAAAAACTGCACTAAAAGTTGAGAGAACTTGAGAGCCTACTTCGTTTTAAAATAGGAAGGTAATGATAATGACGATGATGGTGGGGATAATGTTCTTACTTGCGCGTGCGCCCCTTAGGTTCTTCATCAGGTGGGTCTCCGCTTCGCGGGAGGCGCTCCAGTTTATTTTGTGCCGCGTTCAAGTACCTGCCACGAAATAAGCATGTTTTATTTAATTTATTAAATATCCATTTTCATATCTTTTAGTCTGTGGTTTGAGTTTTGACAGAATCTTTGCACTCAAAAGTGATTTTGACTAACGTCCTTGGTCAAAGCCACTGGAAAAAACATTCAAAAGTGATATTGACCAAAGGCATCAGTCACAACCACTTTTGACTGATTTTTGCAGTCAAACGTGGTTTTGACGGATTATGAGTTTTGACTGTAACAAATACACCAAACTTATGCCTGTATTTTCAATTGATTATCCTACTACACTTTGGTAGGTGTTCAAACAAAAAGAGTGGATACTACTGCTCAAACGCAACAACCATCTTTTAAATCCTTCTCCATTCTTTCTTTCTGAGCTGAGCTGCTCACCTTAAGCTGACGAGCGTGAACAGCTCACCAGGCAGCGTCCTTAGTTCATTGTTGGCCAGGTCGATCCTTGTCAGAGCCAGAAGAGCGCCACCCTCGCTGCCCAGGCGTTTATTGACGCGTAAAGCCGCTGCACGTAGCCAGGACATCCTGAGATACATGACAGTTATTAAAGAAAGCTCCTTCATTTAGATAAATATGTGTATTACAACTCGATCGAGCTAACTGCACACTCCTCTGGAATGCGACTAAGGGGATGAATATCACCTCATAAGGGGATGAAAATTAACTACTAGGGGGATGAATATCACCTCCTAGGGGGATGAAAATCACCTCATAAGGGGAATGAATATCACCCTCTTAGGGGATGAAAATCACCTCCTAGGGGGATGAAATACACCTCCTAGGGGGATGAGTATCACCTCATAAGGGGATAAAATTAACTCCTAGGGGATGAATATCACCTCCAAAGGGGATGAAAATCACCTCCAAAGGGAGATGAATATCACCTTCTAAGGGGATGAAAATCACCTCCTAGGGGGATGAAATACACCTCCTAGGGGGATGAGTATCACCTCATAAGGGGATAAAATTAACTCCTAGGGGATGAATATCACCTCCAAAGGGGATGAAAATCACCTCCAAAGGGAGATGAATATCACCTTCTAAGGGGATGAAAATCACCTCCTAGGGGGATGAATATCACCTAATAGGGGATAAGTATCACCTCCTAAGGGGATGAGTATCACCTCCTAACTAAGGGGATGAGTATCACCTCCAAAGGGGATGAAAATCACCTCCTAGGAGGATGAAAATCTCATCCTAAGGGATGAAAATCATCTCCTAGGGGAATGAATATCATCTTCTAAGGGGATGAAAATATCCTAATAGGGGGATGAAAACTCCTAATAGGGGGATAAATATCACGTCTTAAGAGGATGAATATCACCTATTAAGGGGATGAATACTACGTCTCAAGAGAATGAGTGTCACCTCTTAAGGGGATGAAAATCACCCCCTTAAGGGATGAAATGGGTCCAAAGTTAGCACCTGATGGCGGGCAGCGGGCACTTGAGCTCGCGCCAGTTGACCATGACGGCGGTGGAGGGGCACAGCGCGCTGTACGTCAGCGCCGCGTCCTGGTCTTTGGTCCCGCGTCCTTGGTTTTTGAGGAAAATCACCTCCTATGGGGATGAATTTCACCTCCTATGGGGATGAAAATCACCTCCAAGGGGGATGAATATCACCTCCAAAGAGGATGAAAATCACCTTCTAGGTGGATGAAAATCACCTCCTAAGGGGATGAATATCACCTAAGGGGATGAATGTCATCTAAGGGGATGAATATCACCTAAGGGGATGAATATCACCTCCAAAGGGGATGAAAATCACCTCCTAAGGGGATAAAAATCTCCTCCAAGGGGGATGAATATCACCTCCTAAGGGGACGAGTATCACTTCTTAAGGGGATGAAAATTACCTCCAAAGGGGATAAAAATCACCTCCTAGGGGATAAAAATCACCTCCTAAGGGGATGAAAATCACCTCCAGGGGATGAAAATCACCTAATAGGAGGATAAATATCACGTCTTAAGGGGATGAATATCACCTGAGTATCACCTCATAAAGGGATGAAAATCACCTCCTAAGGGGATGAATATCACCTATTAAGGGGATGAAAATCACCTCCTAAGGGTATGAATCTCAAGAAAATGAGTGTCACCTCTTAAGGGGATGAAAATCACCCCCTAAGAGGATGAAATGGGTCCAAAGTTAGCACCTGATGGCGGGCAGCGGGCACTTGAGCTCGCGCCAGTTGACCATGACGGCGGTGGAGGGGCACAGCGCGCTGTATGTCAGCGCCGCGTCCTGCTCTTTGGTCCCGAACACCGCGTCCGAGACTGCGGACTTGTTCAGCTTGTAGTCCGGGTCTGGGTACGCCTGTGGAGATTCACAAGTTAGTAGTAAGTAATGACGGAGTTACAATCGGAGACAAAGGACAGTTTAAAGTCTAAGTCGAAATTAAATAGCAAAAGTCAAAAACCAAGTCAAAGTGAAACTCTAAACTCAAATGTCAAGTCAAAAACAAAGTCAAAGTTAATGTCAAAACTCAAAAGTCAACGGGAAAGTAAGTAGATCAATTTTGAAAGTCGTAAAAACAAAAAAAAACTGATTTCAATGCCACAATTGAGTCTGAGGCTGAGCCAAAGCTCAAATTAAAGTAAAAATCATGATCAAAAGATATGGTATAAAAGTCAATATCGAAAGTAAAAAAACTAAAGTCAAATAAATATCTAAAATCAAAGCCAAAGTCAAAATGACAAGCCAATGTCAAAGTCAAAGGTCAGTTTAAAGTCAAACCCAATTCAGAACCGAAGAAATATTTGCGCACTACCCACTAATTGCCATATATTGTATTTATTTGCTTCCTTTCTTCATAAAAGCTATGCAAAAAATAATTTTATATTTTATGATGTTCAGTCTAATTTATAATTAGCAACAATTTAGGTAGGATACTTTATATGTAGCTAAATAGACATCTTAAGCCGATTAGTTTATAAGTGTTTAAATTCAACGTAGCTATTGTGTTGTTTCTTTTTTATGATTTAAATTAAATGATTATGTTGCATGTTTTATAAAGACGTACTATTAAGTCTATAAAAAACGCTAGCTTTTAAGTTATCATGTACTAACTAAACATGTATGTATGTCAATTATGCAAATAAAGAAATTCCAAAATCAAATCAATCAATCAATTCAGAACCGCAATTCCAAATCAAAAGCTCCTTAGTAGCCAGCAAGCTAGCGGCGCCTCCGCCAGCGCCGAGCGGTCGTGCCTTAGTGGCCAGCAAGCTAGCCAGCAGGTCCGGCAGCGCCGAGCAGTCGTACCTTAGTGGCCAGCAAGCTAGCCAGCAGGTCCGGCAGCGCCGAGCAGTCGTACCTTAGTGGCCAGCAAGCTAGCCAGCAGGTCCGGCAGCGCCGAGCAGTCGTACCTTAGTGGCCAGCAAGCTAGCCAGCAGGTCCGGCAGCTGGTGTCGCGCGCACTCCCGGACGGCGAGTCCGTGCGGGTCGGAGGCGCCGGCCGCGAGCAGCGCCTCCGCCAGCGCCGTTTGCCGCCCACGCACCGCCAGCGCCAGCGCCGACCACGGGAGATCCCCTGCGAGAGACAGGTTATATGGAAAGGCAATACTTAAATTGTTTACCGATTTGGAACAAAAATTATATGGTCCTTCGAGCCGGATAATGGTCCTCCAAGCCGTACAGTGGAGTAAAATCTACAGTATGCTCTTATACAATAGTTACAATAATTTTGCTCAAATATTATCATGAATGGTAATGCCAATTAAATTATTCCTAAGTTGCACAGACTAACTGCGACTTAACTACATAATTGCTTACCTTTGATAAGGAACCCTTAAATAAATCACCCTCCTTGTGGCGCAGTCGGGTAATGATAAAGATAATTATAGATTATAAGCAACTAGTATACTTACTATCAGCGCTGCAGCCGCGTTGGATGGCCGCCGACGCGCTGCGCGAGCGACGCCGCTCCCTTTCGCCGCTCTCCTGCCACTGCACAAAAATGTCACATGCTCACTTTGAATTGGGTAGTAGGCTATACATAGTATACATCCTACTTCCTACTTAATATTATAAATGCGAAAGTTTGGATGTCATGATGTTGGGATGTCTGGATGTTTGTTACTCTTTCACGCAAAAACTACAGAATGGATTTTGTTGAAACTTTACAGTATTATTGATTTTAACCCAGATTAACATATAGGCTACTATTTATGATGATATGTGACAAATTAATTTCGATAAATAAATAAGACGTGACTAAAAAGCGCCATCTATCTCATAGGTTAAAATCTACAGCGCTGGACATTGACGTTCGTAAATATTCATGCGGGGGAAGCCGTGAAACGCCACCTATCAACATGATATCAAACAACAGATTTTACGAACTCAGAAGGGGTAAAACGAGTAATAATATAAATTCACTTCTTCCTAGCTCGCCAGTCGACTTGTCAGCTCTGTCTCTGGGTGGTTTACTTTTTGTCTCCTTCGTTCGTTCGTTTCAGTCAAATAATGACACCCACTGCTGGACAAGATTCCATCCTCCCCTAAGAATTTCCATAACGAGATCGGTCCTGCGCTGCCTCCTGCGGCCCTGGTTCTTCTGGCGACCTTCACCAGATCGTCGGTCCTCCTAGTGAGGGCCTGCCTCATTACCAAACCTTAGCGTGCGGGTTGGCAGCGGGCGCGCGCCACGCAGCTGTCGGCTTACTTACTGCTAGCCTTGTCATGCCACTTGTCTCCTAGTGTGCAGGTTAGCGCCCAGACTATTATCTCACTTAACATCAAGTGCGAATGCGGTCAAATACCTGCTCATTCTCACTTTAGCCGGTGGGTTAATTGTCTTCTCAACTGTGTGCGACTCAACTCAGTGTGTCTCTTAGGCTTTGAGTGGCTCATCTTGGCTTTCCAGCCTTCCAGCTTTTACCTTGTCATGTCACTTGTCTCCTTGTCTCACCTTAGCGTGTGGGTTG